GAAGAGAGCTTGCTCCTCCAGTTCTCCCCGAGATTTTCCTGTACGCAATCATCAACCCCCACCTCCGTCCTCCTCCTGCTTCCCTTCATACTCCTCTTCCTCCTGCTCCTCCTGCCCCCCTTCCTACTTCTCCTGCTCCTGCTCCTGCTCCTGCTCCTGCTCCTCCTGCTCCCCTCCTTATCCTCCTCCTCCTCCCCTCCTCCTCCTCCTCCTCCTCCTCATCATCATCATCATCATCATCATCATCATCATCACCTCCATCATCCTTAGCAGCTGATCCGCCGGCATCTGCTCCGCCTCCTCCCGCACCCGGTCGATCACCTGACGAAGAGGAGATTCCTTGGGTATCACGTGCTCGTCCTGTATGCTCAGCAGCTGCCCGAGTTTCAGCGCTGCTCCTCTCATGCGGCACAGCGCCAGTGTCAGGCGGTTGCTGTTCCCCTCGCTCAAGATCGCCCCTTTCAGTCCTCCCGCTGCCCCCATCCTCCCCCTTACCGCATTGTTAACTATCGCCCCCACCGTCCCGAGCGCCATGCCGATCCCTAGCCCCGCAAAGCTGCTTACTCGCTGGATCCTTCCGGTTGGCACGTGGCTCGACCTCCTCCTTTCCTGCCTCTCCGCCTCCCTACGCGCCTCCGCTGCTTTCGTGGTGCCAACGTTCTCGTGCGGGAGCTGCTGGTTCTTGGAGGAGGATACAGTCTCAACACTCGCCTCCTTCACCGTGTGCTCATCTAGAGGACTGCTGACCTTCCTCCTTCCCTCTCCTTCATCTTTGCTTTCTCGCTCCATCTCCGTCGATCGGGCACTCGCAGCCTCCTTACCCCCAGTCTCTCCCGCTACTTCAGCCCTATCCTTCTTCAGATTCCTCGCTTCTTCCTCCTGCAGATGTCTTTCGTCGGCCTTACTCCGATCCTGTTCGTCTGACTTCTTCTTCGTCTCCTCCACCCACGTCCCGTTCGAAGTCCTCTCCCTTACGTATGGATTCAGAGCATGCGAACTGAATGGAGCAAATTTGGACAAGAACTCCTTGTCCAGGTCTGCTGCTTTCGGCCATGATCTCCTTGCCCGATCTTTGGCGATTTCATTGTTTTCTTCCTCCTTCCAAGTGCCTCTCCTCCCTTGAGCCGCGGGAGGGGTGAAGGCCATAGTCGAAACTTGCATCTCGATCAATCTTGACGCTACCAACGCAGCTCCCTGAGACAGGATGCATGGTATCAGATGAAGTCATTCCTGCTCCGGGCTAGATCTGTTCCTCTGCTTCTCGCTTGCCCGATGACCATTGCTCTCGTAAAGCCGATCCTCATCCCTCCAGGACCCCTCACGAGCTTCTCACCCTCCCCTCCCTCCTTCTCTCCCTTCTTCTCCCTCTCTCATCCCCTCCCTCCCCTCCCTCCTTCTCCTGCCATCTTGCTACCCTCCCGCAACCCAGACCATCTTCATCGCCTCCTCCTCCTCACCTGCATCACCCGAATCGCGTCCTTCTCTCGCTGCATTGCCTGGGAGTCCTTAAAACCCCCGACACTCATCGCCCTCATTGTCCCGAACATCCAGGTCCGCCCCAGAGCCTTTTCCTGGGTCCGCCCCAAAAGTCTGCGACTTGATCTGGAGATTTCAAGAGGTGAACTGTAAGGATGAAATATTATTTAACAATTTCAAAAAAACGAGGAGAATTTCTGGAGAAGGCTTACAGGGTGTCGCCGGCTGTTAAAACATTGTAAGTCATCATTATAATTATTTATCTTGTATTAGTATTGGGTTTATATTCCGGAGCTCTCAAAATGTGTACAAAATATTTTTATATCTTTTGTCATCTTTTGTTGTTGGGTGTGGAGCACTCGACTGGGTTGGGAGCGAAGGAGCAGGGAGAGGAGGAGAAGAGAGCAGGGGGGAGGAGAAGAGAAGAGAGGAGTGGGCGGTGGATTGAGTAGATCGAGATGATCTAGCAGAAGCTCAGTCGAGAGAGGTCAAGGAGAGGAGAAGATCAAAGCAGACGCACATCGGAAGTTTGTGTTCGCGCTCAAACAAGTCGAGGCAAGAGAACTTTCGACCCATACACGCGGGAGGACCTGTAGCAGACACAATCTGTGGAAAATTAACATAAATTACTCCGCTCTCAAGGCATGCACAAGGATATTGTGCCAACGAGCGAGGGCATGGACACTTCTACCGGGTGTGCCATGGAAGACACAAGGAGCAATCTGTATGCGAACCTCGGAGAGCTGGGGTTAGGGTGCTCGCAAGAAGATATTTCACGCCTTTTCTCTAACCATGATGCCTTCTCGTTCCCTACCACGACTAGCAGAGTCGGGCCCGCAGGGGAAGACTCTTATGGACAGCAGCAGTTTCCTATAGCGAACATTGCATCGTCAATGGAGTACCAGCAGCCGGCTGAAGGCAGGGCGTCGACACCGGCGGTGCTCACATCAGATCAAAGCCAACCTCCGACATCGGGACAGGCCTCGTCCTCAGCATGGCACTCCCCGGCGATGCCGTCGCAGGCAGCAGCAGTAGCGCGAGGAGACCAGGGGTCAAGCTCCTCCCTGCCCCTAGCCGCAGGCTCTTCAACTTCCTTGTCCTCAGAGAGCTCCTCCTCCTCATCTTCACAAGACAAATGTAACCGAGCTGTACTCCTTTAGACCCGAATCCCACCCCCACCCCCCATCTGCTTCAGCCTGCCTTCCTCAACCCCTCCGTCTCCCTCCCTCGTCTTGTCCACCCCCCCCCCGTTCTGGTTCACCTTCTTCGTGATGACGTGATTCTCCTTGCTGTTGCAGCCAACAGGAACAAGACAAACCCCAGAGTTCTCAGCACAGTCAAAGATTCTTTCAACAGGTGACAAGTCTGTTGCCGGAGCCTCGCACCTCACTTGCTCTGTTTTTCTGATCTCAAGGTATTTGTTTGATGCTCCTTCATCTCACCGAAAACCGTCACACAAGTTGAATCGAAACCTTCCAATGAGTGAGAAGCTTTGCCGCGATGATTGTCGTGCTCATGCCTTGTCAAGATTTGGAGAACGTCGTTGTCAACCATGATGCGTCCAAGTCAAGAGCTCCGGCGTGCACGCGCTGCAGATCGAAGAAGCTCAAGTTTGTTTCCTCACTCCCTTTTTGGTTTTCCTCATCTAGCATGCAGATGTGACGAAGTGCGGCCATGCTCGTCTTGCGTGAAGAGAGGTTTCGGGTTGGAGTGCAGCAATGAGATGCCAGATTGTCTTCCAGGTTGACGATGATTGAGGGGGTGAAGATAAAGTTGCAGATCGTGGAGTTGACGATGATGATGATTATGATGATACAGATGATGATGATGATAATGATACAGATGATGATGACAATGATGATGATGATGATGATGATAATAATGATGATTTGTTGCGAAGTTTTGAAATCCATGTCAGACCTGTTTCCTTACGGTCAGAGACCCAACGACGGGGAGACGGAGGTTTTGTTGAAGGTCTGTCGCTCTTGCATGCGATAAAGACAAGCTCTGATGGCTTCTTGCGGTGCAGATTGCTCGCGTGTTTGTGCCGCAGATTATAACCAAGAAGAAGTTCGAGGTCATGAAGAAGGTAAAGAGCAGGAGGAAGAAGGTTCCGAGCTTGACGATCTGAGAAACAGCGGATCGTGGATATCTGTGCCGAGGCCGTTTCGAAGGATTCGGAGGAGAACGTGATTCGCAACAACGAAGTTTATCGCAGTTGCAACCTCGAGCTGGAAAAATGGGTCACCCCTGAACTGCCCCAGAATGTAAACTATCAAACTTTCCTGAAGGTGACCAGCCTCGATCTCCTCCTCCTCTCGATCTCCTCCTTACCTCCTCTCTGTCGGACTCGCCTTCTCTATACCTCGGTCTCCTCTTCTTCCTTCTCTGTTCTATCCTCCCCTGTCTCCTTCTCTCCTCTGACGTGCTTGAAGGCTCTTCCCTTGTACCTGCGGTCCCCTGGGAAGAAATGCGACCAGACAGCATCGGCCGTGGCTTTCATCCTGCAGATGATCTCATTCAGAGACTTCTGCGAGTTCATTCTGTTTGCCAACAAGGTGAAACAATATCAAACTCCTCTCTCCTCCCTTTTCCTCTCCTCTCCTTTTCATCGTTTTTCTTCTCCTCTCCTCCTCTTCCCTCTCCTTTCCTCTGCTTCTCTTCTCGTATCCCTCCTCTCCATCTCGCTCCCCCTTCCGTCTTGCCAACTTCTCTGCTCACCGATAGTCGGGCAGGAGGTGAAGGGGATCCGGAGCTGCGCGTCTGAATTTCAGCCGATGGATCTCCAGCTTCCTCCTGAGTCGCAGGGTCTCATCTCGTCCCATCTCAACGAGGCGAACGAGGCTCTCAAGGGTAAGACCCTCCTCCTCCTCCTTCTCCTCCTCCTCCTCCTCATTCTCCTCCTCCTCCCTCGTGTCACAAGTCCTCCCTCCCTCCTCCTGTCTCAAGTCCTCCCTCCCTCCCTCCCTCCTTCCCTCCTCCTCTTATCGTTTGCTGCCTCCTTCCTCCTTCTTCTCTGTTCATCCCTCCCTCCCTCCCTCCCTCCCTTCCTCCCTCCCTCCCTGCCTGCCCATCCTCCTGTCTCCCTCTCCCTTTCCTCCTCTGCCGCTTCATATCCCTCCACTATCAACTCCCTCTCTCCTCACGGTAATTCGGCATTTCTTACGACAGGATTCGGTCAGAGGCCGTCAGGGCCGGGGTGGGTTGAGTTTGCCAAGAACAAGTCGATCCATGCTGAGAAGAAGATCACGACCAATGTGATGATGGAGAAGTGGAGGAGGACGTGGAAAGAGTTGGAGGCCGAGAAAACGGGGGAGAGGAAGGGAGGAGCAAGGGGAGGAGGGGAGGAGCAAGTATGGGAGGGGAGGAGGAGAGTAGAGGACGAGATTCTGATTTGCTTTCTTACCTGTGACTCTAGGACCTTCTGAAACAGAAGAATGAAATGTGGTTCCGCATTATGATGGAAGCAGAGCTGACGTACACCCGCTTCCCCTCCCCTCCCCTAACCTTCATCCGTTCCTCCTCCTCCTCCTCCTCCTCCTCTTGCCTCCTTTTCCCTCCTTTTCCTCCTGCTCTCCTTCCTCTTCTTCCTCCTTACCATTTTTCTTCCAGGTATGTGGAGTGTTGCGACATGTTTCACTTCGTTGGAGACAGAAGGCAGGAATGGGACACAAATTACCAGGTTTCGCAACTCCCTCCTGCCCACTCTCCTCCCCTTAGTTCCTCTTCCTCCTCGTCCCTTCATTATCATTCGAGGCAAAGCTCAAGTACTCGATCCTGTGGCAACTTCATTATCATTCTTCACTGCTCCTTCCTCTGCTTTTGTTTGCCTCTTTCCTCGTCCTCCTCCTGCTCTTCCTTCTTCTGCTCTCCTCTCCCCTAGCTTCTTCTGCTCCCCTCTCCCCTCTCTTCTCTCTCCTCCTCCTCTTCTCGCCTCTCAACAGCGAGCAGGGACATGAAATCATCTACCGCAACGAGCAGCGACCGGCCGACGACTTTGTGATGAAGTACGACGTGAACCTCGGACGCCTCATGCACTTGTTCAACATCCCCCGATCCTACACAATCCGCGTCATCCGCAGGTACAGGAGGAGCGGGAATGAAAGGTGGAGCAGGATGGAGGAAGTAGTGCGAGAGGGTTGCAGGGAAGGAGGTTGGGGGCGGGCGGGCAGAAAGAGAACGAGAGGAGCAGGAGCAGGAGCACGAGCGGGAGCGAGGTGGAGGTAACATCACGAGCAGGCACAACTTCCCCGCACAGAACATGTGCACGCAAGTGACGATCCCCTGGAACTTGGAGACGAACACCTACGACGAGAACAACAAAACCTTCAAACTCAAAGTCACCACCATCGGCCCCAGCCCGAGAAATCCTGAGAAGTCCATCATAATGGAGGTTTGTGACACTCCCCTTCCTCCTCACTCCCTTCTGACCTCGCTATTCCCCTCCCCTTCTTCCCGCCTCTCTCCTCCTTCCCTGCTTTCCCTCCCATCCTTGCTCCCCTTGGCCCCCTTTCCCTCCTTCCCTCCTCTCATCTGTCACTGCTCTTCGGTTCCCATTTCATCTCAATCCCCATTCTCTCTATCTCGCACTCCTCCCTTGCGTTCTTTCCTCCTCTCTCTCCCTCCCCCGCATGCTCGTTTTCTCACATGTCAGCAGACGGCCAAGGCAAATATTCGCTTTCTGCCCATCTGGATGCAGAAGATCATCTTGTCAACCATCACTCCCAAGGTGGAGGGAGGAGCTGGAGGGCTACTGGAGGGAGGAGCTAGTGTGGAGCTGAGGAGAGGTTGCGGGGAGATTGTTTTCTGTGTTGTGATCGAACTTCCGAGCAGATCATCGGAGGAATGATCATTCGATACATCCAGAAGATCAAGAAAAAGAACAAGGTCTTGGCTCTCCCTTCCTCTCCTCTCCTCCCCTCCCCTCGCTTTCGTATTCCTGCTCTCCTCTCCTCTGCTCTCCTGTACAAATCCCTGCCTCCCTGCCTCCCTGCCTCCTTCCCCTTCCTCTCTCTCGTATCTCCAGCTGTCTCATCGACGTGTCAGGTGGTTGATCTCAACACAGTCCAGGCAGAGAAGTGAAACCTCCAGTTCGACCATTCTCCTCCTCACTTGCTTGCAGCAAATCTTCAGCCTCGTTCCCCGGTAGCGCCTTGATGGGACTGGAGCAGGAGAAGCAGAACCAGGAGAGGATCCTCGCTCACAACATGAGCATGGCTCCCTTGATCTCTCAGGTCCGCTCTCTCGTCTCTCCTTCATCTCCCTCACGTCTGCATGCAGAGCAACGAAATGGGTTTCGCTGGGCTCATCCCAGGCACGAGTGCAGGGTAACTTCTTCTCCTGCTCCTGCTCCTGCTCCTGCTCCTGCTATTGCTCCTGCTCCTCCTGCCTCCCGCTCTTGCGCCTCCTACTCCTGATAACCACCATAACTACACTCCACCACTCCCTACCTCCTCGTCATCCCTCACGGTGAGGCTTCGCAGAGAGGAGCAGATCTTTCTCAACGGGTCGGAGCCGCAGACATGGTGAAGCTGCCATGTTCAACTCGATTGGAGCTGACAGCCAGCAGGGACCTGGACTGGCTCATGCCTGCCCCCGGATAACGAGGGGAAGGAGGAAGAGAGACTAGAGTGAAAATGATGTGATTGAAGCGTGTGACCATAGCTTCACTCTTGTTCGCGCGTTGATCTGTCAACATCATCGCTATCGGCAGGCTACCACCAGCTCGCGCTCCTCATTCACGCAACTGTTTATCACAACGCAGGAGAGTAGCAGTTGTGCTGCTCTTGCGACTTCCTTGACGATCGTGTTCACGGCGGTGTGTCTGCCTTAGAGCGCGTTGTTGCTCTCCAGCCACTCTCGCGCCTGCTCCTCGCTGAGCCCGTAGAAGGATGCGTATCGCGACACCTCCACCACAAGTCATTCTCTCACAACTTCCTCGACTGCCCTGACCTTCTCCTCTGGGGTAGCAGCCGAGCTCCAGTCGACAGCAGCTGAGGATTCAGATGGAGGAGCAGGAGCTGAGCTGTCAACAGAACCTCCAGGCTTGTCCCATGTAGTCTCTCCGGTAGCAGCGTTGTGGAAGTAAGACCTTGCGAAGCGTAAGGTGACGCTCCCAGCCATTTCCCTCCTCCTCACCGTCCACTAGCATCCTTGAACTCCTGCCAGCCTGCAGCTCCTCCTTCGCCGTACTCTGCTGAGCTTGTAAGCATTGGTGCACTTTGAACCGATCAAGACGAACCTGACAGCTGAGAAAGTGCATGGGAATCCCCCGAGGTCTGCATATTTGTGAGCCGCAAGAACCTTCGCTTTGGCACGATTGCCTGAGCGACAGCAGGGCCGTATGCAGACTGATACTGATAGTCCGTGCTTGGATAATCACAAGAATATCCTTCTTGGTTCATTCCGCCCTCCATCCTGTCCGGCAGATGAGTGAAGGTTAGGACCAAGGAAGCTATGGGTTACCTCGCACGCTTCACTTCTGGGTCTTCTACGATGTGATAATCGCTCGGATAGTTGTACATAGTCTCTGTGGTGTCGATGCCCTTCACAAAAAATGTGCTTCAGGGAACAAACAGAAGTTTCCTTCGCATCACCTTGTCTTTCAGCGCTTCTACAAGCTGCTCCTGGTATTTGTCTCGTTCTCCATCCTTGGACCTGCTCGACAGTCAACAACGAGACGACGTGCTCAGATCTAGAAGCTCACTTGGGGTTGGGATCATCGTAAGCCCAGCGAAGATTCAAGAGTTCGTCCAAGTCTAAAGTTTGGCAATGCATAGCCTCCTGCAAACAACGAGGTTCAGTACGACAGATGTGCTACAGATATCATGGGGACAACCAGCGCAAACTCTGCATTTGCACGATGGCGATAAGTGACGAACCCGATCGCCTTGTTTGGGATGATTCTCAGCTGCTCAATTTCTCCCCACTCAGAGAAGTGTCTGAGAAGCGACTTGTGGGCGGCGTCGGTCCCATGGAGGATCTTGAGGCCGCCTACGTAGAGAGTCCTGTTGTTCTTATTGAAGTTGCCTGTTCCTCGCATGTCATCGCGGTCTGAGTTATGTCTGTCTCTGCCAAATATGTCGTGCAGCATGTCAAGACGTTTGTCATCCTGCGGGGTAGGGATGCGGTGCAAGAAGGTACAATCTGCTCCGAGGGCGCAGCAGCCGCGAGCGAAGAATATGCAGCAGTACGCGCTCTCACCGAAGCGATCGTCCGCTTTCGTCCTTCCAGCATCACGCCTCACACAACATCGGTGCGGAGCAGCCGAGAGGTCCTTGTCGGGCTTCCATTGTTGGCCGCACCACTTGCCGTACCAGATGTTGTACTCGTTGCAGCCTTCAGGGGCTTGCAAGCTCTTGTTGGAGAACTCCTCGATCTGCTTCCTTGCTGGTCTTCGGCTATAATTTGCCATGGAGATCTTCAACATCTTGATGTGGTCTTCCCCTTCAGGCGTGGCTCTGTCATAGTCGGTGAAAATAGTCAGCGACGACTGCCCAGAGCCGTAGTAAGGACAGTCCCGAGAGACGTGTCCTGGTCTTGAGCATCTGTAGCAGATGGCATGAGGGTTGTCAAACTTGTAATCGTCTCCCGCATAGCCATAGTTGCTCAGGTCTTTGTGAGCTCTCTTCCTGCCCTCAGTAGGCAATCCTGCAAGGTTCTTGGGAGCCTGTACGGCCATATCGTGCTGATGAAGTCCTTGAGCGCCTCTTCTAGTCTAGATGAATGATTATCCCCTGTCACAAGTTTCAGAATGAGCTCATCTTTCAAACCTCCATCAGCGCGCATTGAAATAACAAATGCCCTTCCTCAAATCGATTCGCCAAGCGTAAGCTTCTTCCTGTCTCGCTTTGACGCAACGACCACCATGTCTTTCCTACATCTCCCTGTATCCTTCATATTTCCTTCTCTCACAGCATCCCACCATCACATATTGCTCCTCCCCTTCCTCTTTCCCCTCCCTCCCGCCTCCTTCCACTCCCGCATGCATGGAAGTCTGAGAAGAGCGGCAAACAAGACAAGTCATCTTCAACTTTTAGGTTAATTTTTGGAACATTTAACTTAAATGCGATTCTACATAGCTTATTCTAAGCTTATGCGATGCTATATAGCTTATTTTCAACTAAAATAGCATTAATATAGCGAGATTTAATTGATTTCCTGATTACTGAGACCAAATTAACAAACAATTAGTAAAATTAACTGCAGTTCACTTGTATTTAAGCAGAAAGCTGGTAATTCGTCACCCTACCCTACCACTACCCTACACAAAGAACAGGGTATAACAGACACACGTGAGTTGCGCCCACCCCACCGTACTCAAAAATTGTCACCACCCCTTCATTATACAGTCAACTACCCCTGATTTATCGAGGGTCCCTTCCCTACCCCTGCTGATTCCTTCCCCCTGCAACCCCGGCCCCTACGTACAACTCAAGGTCCTATACATGGGTCCTAGGGGGTCTAGTATCAGACTTTTATAAATATGTAGAGTATATATATATTTTAATAACGTTCTATAAATGTTTTTATTACATATAAGATTTTGAGAAACTATTTTTAGTATCATTTTGTCACAAAAATATTTATACTAAAACCTACTTCTACCACGATCGGTCGCTTCTGTTATGGCGGGGCGGAGTGTGGGACGGGCTACGATAAGGGGAGGGAGAGAGAGCGGGAGGAGGAGGAAATAAAGAGTTAGACTAGACAAGATGAGTCGCCATGCTGTTCAGCCTGTGAGAGGAGGCAGGGGCCAAGTTCGAGACTCAGCTCAAGCATACCCGAGCATCACAAACGGTCCCTGAGGAGATCTTGCGGGATCCGCAGATATCTGATGGAAAACGTGAGCAGACGGAGAGAGAGAATGCTAGGTTCCAGTAAGAGGCGAGAACATAAAGGGCATTGGTAATGATACCAATTCAAAACTGAAGATGCTCTGTTCATAACATCGTTTCTGATCCCGATTAATGCAGATTTCAAGCAGAATGAATACAATTTCCTGGAGTAGCCTTGTACTCCTTGTCGTGGCCTCGTTGGGCTCTCTTGAGGAGGTTAACTCAGACCGAGCTTGCCGCTCGATCTCCTCTCCTCTTCGTCTCAGAGGAGGATTCCGCGGAGACGACAACCAATATGATCAGGGTTACGGAAGGTGAGAGAGGGCTGCGGGTGAACGTGTGCTGCAATTGCCAGCTTTGCTCCAACTGCTTCTGATCATGCTTGCTGCAGAGACTACGGTGATCGGGGCGGGTACCGTGGAAGAGCACGCGGAAGAGGACGTGGAAGGGGAGCCCCACGTGGGCCCCCTGATGGTCCTATCGACCCCCTCAAACTGTTTGTGAGCGGGCTGTCCTGGGAAGTGGACGACCAGCAGCTGATGGAGGCGTTCCAGGAGTTCGGGAACTGTGAGGTAGAGAGCAGCAGAGGAGGCGGCAGAGATCTGATGACCTTGCAGGCTAAGGTGATGGTGGACAGATACTCTGGGAGGTCCCGAGGGTTCGGGTTTGTGACCTTCAGTGAGGAACACAGTGCGGCGAAGGCCATAGAAGAGATGAACGGAAGGGTAGAAGAGAGGAAAGAGAACTTCCTTGCTTGTGAACTTCCTTGCAGGAATTGCTGGGCAGACAGATCACAGTCACACACGCGCGGCAGAAGATCTACGAGCAGAATAGCCAATCCTTCGACGGACAAGGCGGCCAAGGGAACGCCGATGGACTGGCAGGAGAGGAAGAGCCCATGGAGAACGAAGAGTCTTGAGTCGCTTCAGCAGCAGCAGCAGCAGCAGCAGCAGCAAGTGAATAGGAATGTGTTATTCTGAAGAGCAGGAAGAAGAGGAAGCGATCGAGGTTCGGACGCGCGAGGGGTGCACAATCATTTTTCCACTTAAGGTTCACATCAAAGAATAATCAAACTCCAAACCCTTCCCTTGCTGATTCTTCACATCGTCAAGCAACCAGCTCGACCTCTTCGTCCTCTACCCCTCCCTTCCACGCGTCATGCATCGCGTACAAGATCAGCTGTACGTCTTCACGGCATGGAAACGGCTGCAAGAGAGAGTCAGCAAAGGGCTTTCTCTTCCTCTTCCCTCTCCCCTTCCCCGGTCCATCCTCCTCCCTCACCACTTTCTCCCAATCAGCATAGGCTGATGGATCTGCCTGGAGCCATACGCAGTCGCCCCTTGCCTCGATCCCCCCCAGGTCTCTCCAGGAGATACACCAAACCAGGGAGCAGCCACTCGCCTGCCAGATATTCAGGAACGCCTCCCCTCCCTCCTGCCCCCTCCCTCCTGCCCCCTCCCTCCTGCCCCCTCCCTCCTACGTCTCTTCCTCACCTGCGCTGGCTTCACCGGCGCATTGATTCCCTTCTCCCCCCACCCGTCCGACGCCGCCGGCTGCCGCCGTGCGTAGAGGCAGTGCTTGTCGGTGAAGAAGAGGACACCGTCGTCGAGGACGATGTGACTGCGGTACATGTCGCTCTGCAGGTCGCCATGCAAGGAGAGATCGGAGCGAGTGTCTCCGATCAGGCGGTGGAAGAGCTCGATGTGCGGGAGAGGAGCCGCGTTGAGTGAGCGCAGGACGCGGTCGTAGTTGAGGAGCCTTGGCTCCCGCATCCTCCCTACCGTCACTTTCCCAAGGGGGTTCGTCTGGTTTCTGAGCCCCTCGCTCGTGTTGGCGATCAGGTCCAGCAGCCCTGAGGTTGGCTTGCAGATGAGGCCTGCGACCCCATGCACCATCCCCTGCATCATCCCCTTCATCCCAGCCCTGTTGTACCCCTCCACAGGCTTGTTCATGAACCCCGAGATCCCGCTCCCCACGCTCCTCGCAAGATGAGAGGTTCCCTGCTTGAACCCGACCTTGTAGTCTTCCGGTCTGCCCCTGTAGTCCTTCTGCTCCTCCCGCTCCCTGATGAAGTCCTTATCAAGAGCGACGGAGGCGAGCCCTCTGCTGACGGAGGAGGAGACCTTGCTGAGCGTGTTGGAGAACCCGTGCCCTACGTGCTGCACCAGCACCTTCGTCCCGTCCTTGAACGACTGCTGGTCGCCATTCCGCAGCCCACTGATCCCCGTCCGGAACGCCTTGAACCCTGTCCCCAAGTTCCTCATCAACCCGACGGGATTCCCGAGGACCTCGACGGACCCAAGGATGCGGTACAGCTGCCGCACGCACTCCTTCTGGTAGTGCTCCCGGAGGACGTTGAGGAGGGACCGCGGGTCCATAAAGGCATGATGGATCGACAGGTCGTTGAGGGTCAGCGGCGCGTTGTCGACCGATGCTGCGAGCCATGACAGCCGTTGAGCGACCTCGTTGGCATTCTTGAAGTCGCCTTCCCCGAGATCGCGGCGGGCGAAGCTGAAGTTGACGTTGACAGCTGGGAGAGCGAAGGACTGCACGTAGATCTTGTTGGAGGAGTTCGGGGAGAAGAGAGCATTCTCGTCTATAACCTGGACGTCTCCTCTCGACACTTGAAGGAGTTCCATGCAAGACAAGTAGTAGAGGTACACCAGCATCACTATTCTCCCCTCCAGGTTCAACTCCACGTCCTTGATCTCCGCTAGGACCGATTGGAACGTGAGGATCGTTGACTCGCCGTTGAGGTCCTGCACCATCTCTAGCTGCAAGAAAGGCTTGTCATCCCCCTTGATCGAGCTGTAGAGGACGACTGGGTGAGGAGTGCGCTGAAGCATGTTGTCGACCTGAAAGTCTTGCACGAGCAGGAGCAGGGACCTGTTCTTCTCAGTAAGCAGAAGCTTCTTCTCGTAGTTCAGCTGCACACACTGCAAGTGCATGCAAACGAGCTCTTGCGGGTGGAGGTCGACCATGGTCACGGAGACTCTGTTGAACTCAACTGACATCTGAAACTTGTTGCCCTCATCCGTCGAGCCCTCCGGCCCTTGCATGGCCTCCCGAGCAGCAACGGGAGACTCGACTCCCATCTCCGTGCGGCTCTCGAAGAAAGCTCTCAGCACCCTCGTAGGACCATCGGCTATCACGCTCAGCAAGACCTTCCTGTCGTTGATGAAGAAGAACTTGGTCTGCCCGATCTTGTCAAACTTGCAGAGGGCGCACGACGGCGTGTCTCCGGCTCCCGCCACCCTGACGGCAAGCACATGCTCCAGCAGCGGCTTGTCCCACGCGAAAGGGATCGACGAGTTGGGGGGCACCAGGTCGACGTGCTGGTCGTAGCCCTGCACAGCCTGATTGACAAGGAGGGCGAGGGAGGTCATGTTGCTGATCCTGTAGGGGGGGATGCTGGAAGACTCGGCCTGAAAGATGACGTGCAGCGTCTCACCGATGTTTCTGACCTCGATCTGCGTCCCCGTCAGCCCTCCTGCCTCCCACAGCACCAAGAGAGCTCACCCTGACGATGCACGAGGGCCACTCAGGTTCCTTGGACCTGAGACGAATCTGCAAGATAGGTCAGGGGAGGAGAAGACGTCGGGCTATCAAAGGCTCGTTCACTCACATGCGATTCACCCAAGGTGGAGATATCAAACGCTCCCGACCACTCATACGGCATGCTCGTAGTCTCAGTCCCTTCCACCTCAGCGACGATGCGGATGCAGAGCTCGTTGGGACAGTTTGCGTTGGGCCAGTGAAAGTTTGTCTTGTGGTCGGGGCGAACTATGTAGATGCCTTCGGTATCCATCTGTCGATAATGAACCGTCTGGTCTAACTTGTTCACGATGACGAACCGAGGACGGAACGTTAGGATTTCAGTCTTGAAGTGAGTCCCTTTCTTGGTCTGAGTTGTCAGAGACAATTGAAACAGGAAGTCAGAGCTCGGCCCTTCATTCCCGCCCCTCCCCTCGTTCCTTATCTCCACCATCCCGCTCGCTCCACCATCGTGGATGGGAATACCTTCGGACCAGCTGGAGCCTGCCACTTTAACATGGAGCAGCCTGCGCTTAGAGGCCGAGAACGAGAACATGAGCGAGGGGTAGTCCTCGGGCTTGAGACGCTCGCTCCCGATCGGACGCTCGACGAGGCCGTTGGACACAGTGTTCTTCTCCAGCTCCATCCTCTGGAACTCCTTCAGTCCGGGCATCATGAAGTCTACGGAGGCATCAGCCGAGGATCGAGCCAGCATCATCCCTTGCATGGAGTTCATGCCGGCGAACGAGAAGCCCGAAGGAAAGGAGGAGATGGCAGGATGCATGTTCACATTCGACAGCATGCGCGGAGTTGGCATGACTACATCCATATCCCCCGAGTTCAGATTCGGACTTCCCAGGCAGAAAGACAAGGGAAGGCCGGTCAGATTTCGGATCCAGTAGGGGCAGGAGAGCGTGATCCTCCTGTCTCGCCCGAAGTCAGAGGTGGCGTCTCGGATCACGAAGTTGCTGATGGAGACACACAATTTGAGCGAATCGTCCGCGTCATCCTTACAGTAGACTTCTCTGTGCAGCTCGACATCCTGATTCACCCGACGATCTGCCTGGATTCGTGCGTAGTTGCTCCACTTCATCCCCGGAAGTTTGATCGCAAAGAAGGCTGTCTCGGCGGGGGATACGTTGTGATGCTCTACTTTCTCGCCAGGTGCGATCGAGTTCTGAGACTTGGGAATCTTCTTTTGACCGTTGTCACCAACGCAGATGCCGTAGTTGATCGGCAGGGCCAACTCATTGCAGAGGGTGAGGATGGGAGTGAGAGTGATGTTGATGCGGAACATGTCAGGGCTGTTCATCCTCACCCACATGTAGAAGGAGTCTCTGGTGGATTCCGAAGAGTCTTCGGCATTGTACAACCAGATCCTCGGACACGCTTTGCCGTTGACGTCCCTCGGGGGTTTGCGGAGCTCAAGGGGAGAGCTCCACTTGTGTCGCTCGGTGGGTTGGATCCGGAGGCAGCAGTGAGCCACGAGCTGCACGGGGACCGAGAGGGACTGCTGGGGCGAGAGGTCGAGGATGCCTCCTTCCTGCGGTTGAGAGCCGTCGGGCTCGAAGAGGAGGCTGAAGGAGTGAGATGTCTTGTTGACCACGCGAACAGAGGAGACGAGGGAGATGTGCTTGGACCCCTCCACGAGCTTGATGTCGCAGATCACCCTGCAGTCGTTCCCCTCCTGGCGTATCGGCTTGAACACAAGGTTCTGCTTGCCCACTCGATCGATCCGGACCACACAAGGGTACCATCCTTCCCCGACGTTGAGCGAGATCCGCTGCGCCTTGGCAAGTCTCTTCCGTTGATTCCGCCGGGAGCTCTTGATGTCCATGGGGACGCAGGCTCCCGGAGCCACAACGATGCTCAGCTCGTTGCCCGGGTCATCGACCGTCGCACACTCAACTGCCACCCCGATGTCGTTCCTAACGTGGTAGGGGTGTAAGATGCTGATCCTCCCGGCCTCGTCATAAGTCTCTTCCATCGCCCCGTCGCTCTCAAGGTTGTCAAGGGCCCGTTGCAAAGTCTGGCGGTTGAGCGAGAGGCATTCCAAGAACCCCAGGGTGAGGTTGAACTCCCCTGGATCTGACGACCCAACTTTCAATGTGATCGAGTTGTTGGCCATCTCCCGTGAAAGGTTGAGGGGCCAGTACTCCAGGAACGGTTCCCACTCAGCGATCTCCATGTTGAAGTAGTCAATCTCAAGGCCGACGTTCACCTGCTGGTGCCAAACACTTCCTTTCACGTTGTTGGTCACAGCCACCGGCGACCCTCTCACCTCCAGCACAGGGATGTGCGACTCTGAAAAGCAGTCGTTGATGAAAGTGACGCAAATCTGAGGGCAGCAGAAGGTGAAGGCTGTCGTGGACTTGGAACGAAACAACATCTTCGCACTCTCTTTGCCCTTTGACAGATTCGACTGGCTGTCTAGAAGGCTCCATAGTTCTTTCCAGCCTCCGAACATCAGGTAAGCCAAGATCCAATCTTGGTATGAGAGCTGCGCCTCAACCGCCGACGAAATATCGACAGCGAGCAACTCGATGGAGTTTTCGTCGTCCTCTACATGTTTCAAGGCAATGTTCATGTCGAAAGGGTCGACAATCGACCTCATCGCCTGGCTCGTTACCTTCTCGGTTACAAACATTTCAATGTGCTCCAGATCGCAGCTCTGAAACTTCCAAGAATTATGGGAAGACATGCCCGTGAGGCGGATATCAGACTGCAACACAATTTTTGCAGCTCCCTGTTTAGATTTCTCATCAAGAAAAGAAATTCTTGGTTTATAGATCTCTATGTCTGTCTTCATTGTCTGTAGAGATGTCAGCCGGTCCTCCTCTTCCGTTGTGCTTGCGCTAGGAGAATGATGAAACTTCTTCTGAAATTGCGCGTAACATTCCAGGATGTCTCTGAAGTACAAGAATACTTCAGCTACCGCGCTCGGAGCCAACATCATCTCGGGACGAAACAATACGATTCGAAGCCTTGAATCACACCCCGGCTTCTCCTCCTGCCCGGAAAGATCCGAGTACTCAATCTTGAGTTGAGGATTGGATTCAATTTCCGTTTCGGGAACCAGCGAATCATTCTCGTGGTAATATCTCACCAGGGAGACTTTGTCCAGAATGTCGTTCCCTTCAAATGTCATTTCGAATTTCTGCACAGAACAACTCATCTTCCTTGACTCCCCGAGTGCCTCATAGTAAAACTTGGGTTGCTCTAGGGAAAAGAAAGTATGAGGCACATACTTGCCATCTCGCAAACTCCAAGTGAGCAGCTTCAACGCAGCGAAGGATAGGTTTACCATCAGCTCTTTCGATTGCAATCGATTGGAATCCCTACCAGCCGAAGAATTTCTCGACTTCTTTGTGGGAGACAAGACAATGGCTCTCTTTGGTGAAGAGAACGATGAGCCAAGAACCGAGAAGAACAAATGCAACTGAGACAACTCTACATGCGAGCAGACTTCTGACACATCGATCGCAACCTCAATCCTCTTGTCTGTTTGCCCTTTCCCGGCTGTCTTAACGCAACGATCAAGCTTTAACCCGACATTCACTTGGTCCATAAGATATTTCCCGCTTCCATCCTTTACGTCCATCCCCTGTAGATTCATAGCCTTGATGTTGACTGCTATGTGCTCCTCCTTCCTCTCCTCCCTCGTCTCAAAGCTGTTCTCTACCGTGATCTCCCCCAGGTCCGCAACAAGGTGCTGCTCCTCCTCCTCGCTCACCGGCAGTATCACCAGCGGATTCACAAGCTGGCACCGTACCTTCATCAGCCCAAGCCCTGCGCTGTGGTGCCCTGCTGCTCTCCTCGCTGACCGCGCCACCGCTGTCGCCGTCTTCCCCATGATGCTGTTGATCAGCGGCTCTGACGAGATGTACGCCTGCAGGTCCTCGATGAAGCCCCGCGTGTACACCAGCCGCGTCGACGACATCTCTACCTCGAGGCTCGAGTCGTATCCCGGATGCTCCTCCCCCGCCAGGTCGTACGTGCAGTACCGAAACTCCACCACCGACTTCGACGTGTCTCGCAGGCCCAGCTTCTCCTTGAAGTATAGCCCCTCCCGCCTCAGGTCCTCTACCACGAAGTTTCCCAGCTTCCCGCTGATCACTGACCCAGAAGGCCCGGACTGATACTCTCCCCCGGCTGCCGTCATCGCCATCTTCACCACGGTGTCCCCGGCCCTCAGAAGCGTCGCGCTCAGCAGTCTGATGGATGCCGTTGCTTTCACTACTTTCCTTCCCTTCTTGCTTGCTTCCCTGTCCTCCAGGCTCTGGTCTAGCTCCCTGCTGACCTCGCCTGCTTCGATCTTCGGTGATCCAGACGTATCGCGGCCTGACAACAAGCTCTTGCTGATATCTTGCATGGTATTGACATAGTTGAGGAGCATAGAGACAGTCTTATCGTTCCAGTTGAGGATGAGGTTCTGGAAATCTAGTCTCCATAGCACGTCATAGTCTGGTTTGTGTTGGCAGGAAGGTGAAAAGGAGGCGTACTGTATCCTTGCGAGTTCTCCACTTTGATTGTCACTTTCTCTTGAGGATAATAAAACTCGTTCCCCCTTCTCAATTTCTGTGATATCAGTGACATCCACCGAATTCACCTTAAAATCCATTTCTAAGTTATCAATATCTTTTTGAAAATTGCAAAGCATCTTTGTAATATTGCATCGGACCAAATCCGTCGATCCATGATCTCGACTGTGCATTCCAGCGCGTATAGACAAGCCTGCCATCTCAAATGTACCAATCAATCTTGACTGGTCGAAAGCTGGGGCTTGTATCGATTCTTGTTCGCCAGAGACATTCAACAAATCCACCTTCGCTGCATGGCGACGATTGAATTTCAAAATCCGACATATCGTCGTGAAATGATAGTCATGTAATACCAAGTTAGCTTCAGAGAACCAAACCTTAAAATTGTAAACAGAACGCACATTCGGAGCACGGACAACTTGCCTGCTGCAGTTAAAACTCATGTTGAAATGGTTAAGAATAGAGCGAGAGCTCTCTGACAAACTATCTTGCTGAATGTTCATAGCCTTGATGTTGACTGCTATGTGCTCCTCCTTCCTCTCCTCCCTCGTCTCAAAGCTGTTCTCTACCGTGATCTCCCCCAGGTCCGCAACAAGGTGCTGCTCCTCCTCCTCGCTCACCGGCAGTATCACCAGCGGATTCACAAGCTGGCACCGTACCTTCATCAGCCCAAGCCCTGCGCTGTGGTGCCCTGCTGCTCTCCTCGCTGACCGCGCCACCGCTGTCGCCGTCTTCCCCATGATGCTGTTGATCAGCGGCTCTGACGAGATGTACGCCTGCAGGTCCTCGATGAAGCCCCGCGTGTACACCAGCCGCGTCGACGACATCTCTACCTCGAGGCTCGAGTCGTATCCCGGATGCTCCTCCCCCGCCAGGTCGTACGTGCAGTACCGAAACTCCACCACCGACTTCGACGTGTCTCGCAGGCCCAGCTTCTCCTTGAAGTATAGCCCCTCCCGCCTCAGGTCCTCTACCACGAAGTTTCCCAGCTTCCCGCTGATCACTGACCCAGAAGGCCCGGACTGATACTCTCCCCCGGCTGCCGTCATCGCCATCTTCACCACTGTGTCCCCGGCCCTCAGAAGCGTCGCGCTCAGCAGTCTGATGGATGCCGTTGCTTTCACTACTTTCCTTCCCTTCTTGCTTGCTTCCCTGTCCTCCAGGCTCTGGTCTAGCTCCCTGCTGACCTCGCCTGCTTCGATCTTCGGTGATCCAGACGTATCGCGGCCTGACAACAAGCTCTTGCTGATATCTTGCATGGTATTGACATAGTTGAGGAGCATGGAGACAGTCTTGTCGTTCCAGTTGAGGATGAGGTTCTGGAAATCTAGTCTCCATAGCACGTCATATTCTTCTTTTTCTGGACAATCGCTGAGAAACTCTTTACGGTGAATTGTGGCTAAATGAGATGTATCTTCGTTGAGAGAATCAGCATTCAATATATCCTTGTTCCCCATAGCATCACTTTCTGTGATATCAGTGACATCCACCGAATTCACCTTAAAATCCATTTCTAAGTTATCAATATCTTTTTGAAAATTGCAAAGCATCTTTGTAATATTGCATCGGACCAAATCCGTCGATCCATGATCTCGACTGTGCATTCCAGCGCGTATAGACAAGCCTGCCATCTCAAATGTACCAATCAATCTTGACTGGTCGAAAGCTGGGGCTTGTATCGATTCTTGTTCGCCAGAGACATTCAACAAATCCACCTTCGCTGCATGGCGACGATTGAATTTCAAAATCCGACATATCGTCGTGAAATGATAGTCATGTAATACCAAGTTAGCTTCAGAGAACCAAACCTTAAAATTGTAAACAGAACGCACATTCGGAGCACGGACAACTTGCCTGCTGCAGTTAAAACTCATGTTGAAATGGTTAATACTTCCCGCTTCCATCCTTTACGTCCATCCCCTGTAGATTCATAGCCTTGATGTTGACTGCTATGTGCTCCTCCTTCCTCTCCTCCCTCGTCTCAAAGCTGTTCTCTACCGTGATCTCCCCCAGGTCCGCAACAAGGTGCTGCTCCTCCTCCTCGCTCACCGGCAGTATCACCAGCGGATTCACAAGCTGGCACCGTACCTTCATCAGCCCAAGCCCTGCGCTGTGGTGCCCTGCTGCTCTCCTCGCTGACCGCGCCACCGCTGTCGCCGTCTTCCCCATGATGCTGTTGATCAGCGGCTCTGACGAGATGTACGCCTGCAGGTCCTCGATGAAGCCCCGCGTGTACACCAGCCGCGTCGACGACATCTCTACCTCGAGGCTCGAGTCGTATCCCGGATGCTCCTCCCCCGCCAGGTCGTACGTGCAGTACCGAAACTCCACCACCGACTTCGACGTGTCTCGCAGGCCCAGCTTCTCCTTGAAGTATAGCCCCTCCCGCCTCAGGTCCTCTACCACGAAGTTTCCCAGCTTCCCGCTGATCACTGACCCAGACGGCCCGGACTGATACTCTCCTCCGGCTGCCGTCATCGCCATCTTCACCACGGTGTCCCCGGCCCTCAGAAGCGTCGCGCTCAGCAGTCTGATAGAGGCTGTGATTTTCAATGCCTGCTTCGGCTTATGAGGCTCATCAGTAGCTGGTTGAGGGTCATGCTGATTCTCTTCGGCTTCATAGAACAAGTCGTCATCAACAAGACTAGATTTCAAACGTGCCTGTCCTGCTCTTTGAGACCGATCCCGAAAAGCTCCAGTACAGAAATCTGTTAATATGCGGACGGTAGATTCATTCCAATTCATCGATAGAGATTTGAAATTGAAATCCCACCAAGCATCATATTGATAGTCATGGAATATCTCAGGCGCGATCCATCCTCGCTCAATGCACACAAATTCATCCTCCTCTTGTCCTGCCGTCTGCCTCTGAGAAGAGGCAAAAGAGAATTGGTTGATTTCGTCCTTGATCTCTAGATGCTGCATGAGCATCCGAAGAGAAGACTTGTATCCGTTATGGTATCTTGTGTTGAATCCTCGAAACAACACATGTGCACACACCTTTCGTTCGTGAGCAGAAGAATCGGAGGCCGATTCCAACAGATTCAGCTTCAGCTCATTCATGTCGAACGCAAATTCAAAGGACAATCCTGATGATTCAGGCTTGACTACCTTAATTGTCGAAGTTTCCTTGACCACATCTGTCGGTGGATAGTGAGACCTGACGACCTTGAAGAAAGCGTACCAGAAAGAGTTGTATTGTTCAGCTGTACAAAAGAGGTTTGCGCAGGGAAGGGTTCCCTTGACTATCTGTCTAGGAAGATCCTTCATGACTCTGATTGGTTCTGTGAGTTTGCACCAATCCCACGTGATTTGGAAGTCAAAATCTGTTGCTAACGTGATACCCTTCATTATCCAAGCTGTTCTATTATTTGCCAAGCAATGTAGCCAGATATTAATATCTTCTGCAAGACGAAATCGCGTGTTTTTCACGTCCAATACGTTTCGATCGAAAAATTCAAGTTTCTCATCGTCTCCACTAATCAGCACTGATTTCCAATCAAAGCTGTCAAGATCGAAAACTATTACTGGCTCTGAATCACTTTTATGATCCGCAGGAAACAAAATACAAGGTTTCAGAACAGAAATGTGCCATTGCATTCTCTTATCGAATCGAGTGCGGTCTTTCCACAGTTGTAATTGCCATTCGGAGCTATCGTCTTCATGATCTTGAACGATTTCCGCCGCTGAAGTTGGGAATCGATCCTCCTTGGGTACGATCCAGAAGTTGTAAACCCCCAAAACACACTCTACGCTATAGATAAGGTGCAAGCCATCAAGCGTGACAGCAATGTTTCCCCCATCCTTTGGTGAGTCACTTGTGGGAAGTGTATCCCAGTTCCATGTAAGGAGTGGTTTGGCTTCAGAATCATCGTCGCTAATCTCGTGGTTGCAAGAAGCTATCCGAGATAGCCCATCAATACTGTTCTGCCTATCCTGCATTTCAAAAGACAGCAAGGAGAAACCATACATGTACGTATCTCTCCGAATGTCATATTTTCCATCTAAAACATCAAACTGCATGTAGCACAATTCTTTCGGGTCTTCATTTGCAAGCCACCCTTTCTCGATGAGGGTCAGAGAGCCCATAGAGATCGAGAAGTCAATTCGAAATCGTGCATACTCTCTCGGGTAAGCATTTGTTTCGATTGCGTCATCCGAAGCATTCGAGAATTGAAGAGCTTCGTTGAGAATCTTCTTGCTCTCTTCGTCAAGTGAAGATTTATCCAGGTCCTGATCATAAGACGAAACCACGAAACTTCTCGCCCACTGACCCCAAGATTGTTGACTTCTCGCAGCCTTTTTGGCCTCTGTCACGGCTGCTTCATGTGCCTCGGACATTTGCTTTGCTGCCTGAAACAACAACAATACTATGTCAGTGGATTTGATTTTCAGCCACAAGTATCACCTGACGGAAACTTGCTATTGACTCAGCATTGAGGTGATTTTCGAAAGCCCGCAACGTCCGGCCTTCATCATTGCTGTCGTTCGATAGAAGCTGCGACAAATACGTGCAGGTGTACTGCTCTCCCAACTTTGTTGCGCACCGTCGATGATGAACCTGCGGGTAGGAGAACAAGTTAGAAAGAGATTGAAAAAGTTGAAAGACATCTCCAGCTACCTGATCACGAATCCTCCGAATCGCATATCGAAACCACTTTTTCGGATCCTTCAGGGGGGGTTCTCGAGGTCGCCAGTACCAATGCTCTATTCTACTTCTGTACATGTTGCATTCTTCTAGAATCTTGTAGATAATGATGTACTGCATCTTGAAAAAGCGCCATTCCAACTTATTCATTTCCTGAGAACAAATGAAAAGCCATGAAGATTAAATTTCGCGTATTACCAATCGAAAATGGAACTGCGGAGCCTTGAATTGATGGTTGTCATTGATGGTCAAGCGTACTACCAGATGTATTGGTTTGATGATCTGGAAATCTTCTAGATTTTTCTGTGACAAACATGAGATGCAATGATTGACAAGTCTCCTATCACCTCAGCTACAGCAGAGTCTCGTCGTTCGTCATCATGGGAGACCAGATGCATTTGCAAGTCCTTAATTTCAAGGACTTTTTCTGTTGCCGTGGTATCTTCAGAAGGCTGATTACCCTTTGATTCATTGTTGGAAGCTGACATCGCAACCAAACTGCCAAGGACGATTCCTAGCGTAAAGCATTTGTGCTGGAATTGGAAACGTTCAAAGGTGAAAGATCAAAAGTGACTTTCTTACCCCTTCCCTTGAAGCTCGTTTGTCGATGATATTTACCCTGAAATTGCTGATATGTATCTGCAAGTTGTCCCTCACTTTCTTTGCTAGTCGTGCTAGAAAGCTAGGAGCTTTTCTTTCTCCGTCCTCTTGTTTTTCATTGAGTGCATGGATCTGATGAAAGGAAACGTAAGATCACAACGCAGTACACACTCAATCTTCCTTACTTGAGACTCTTTCCAAATTCTGATGCGCTCGAAGTGAGATGCATAGTCATCTGAGCTCAGAGTGTCTCCCTGGACATAAGTGAGATGAAGGCAGAACATTGCACTTTTACAAAACTAGCCTGTTCGAGGGGTTCGAAGTTGATTTCAACATCTTTCAAGATGATGATGACAGGTTCGTTCCACCAAAATCGCAAAAAGTTCACAGAGAGTTCTAGATGCCCCACCTTGCCTGTTTTACCATCATTAAATTGTTCAAATAAGAGCTACAGTGAACTGAATTCAGCAAATCTCTCGTACCAGATGTGCGAAACGGAAGCTCGAGCCAAGCAAGAGCAGTTTCTTTGATGCTCAAATTCTCCAATTTTAATTTTCCTCCAAGTAGCTGAAGATTCAGCGAATCTTCAGTCACTCCTGAACAACAAACTTCAATCAAGCAACTCTCTGAAGGGAACAGGAAATCTACCATCCAAGTAGGTTCCAAGAAGATTCTTGAGTTGCAATGCCACATACTTTGTAACCTTAGCACTCATGGCGAGGTCTTGGTATATCAATGCAGGGATCCTATATCATTCGGGACTGAAGGAATCCCTCCGAGAAGTAGAGCTCATCTCGAACTTCCTGAAAGGGCAGGGCGTCAATCACAGGAAAGTGAATACAAATGGTGCGTGGTATTTGTTATGATCACGTGTGCCTTACATTCTCCATCTCAGATGTCAGCGACTTCATTCTCAGCTGCATAAGCTTGGTTCTGCTTCCTCCTATAATCTTCCTGCTGTAATCTGATTCATCAACTTCCTTTCTTTTTATGATCCAGCTCCCGCTCTCCCGCTCCTAATGCTGCTCCCGCTCCTGCTGCTTCTCCTGCTCCTACCCGCTGCTGCTGCTGCTGCTGCTGCTGCTGCTGCTGCCCCCGCTCCTGCTCCTACTGCTGCCCCCGCTCCTGCTCCTCCTCGTTCCCCCGCTCCTGCTCTGCTGCTTCCTCCGATTTCTGCACTCCCGCGGGAGTCTTGGGACATCTGCTGCCCAAAATTGTTGTGCCTGCTCGGATTTGATTCGATCAAAACCGTTTTGTACCCCATAATCTGCAGTGTCTAGTAGGGGTACTTTGACCCCTGGCAACATGATTTGAGTGTAAACTTCGAAAAACTATCAGGTATTTTTGACCAGTCTCCTCCCATCAAACATGGCGGGAACACAAGCTAGAACATGAGCGACTGTCAAGTCCTTCAAACATGCTGGGAGCCAAGGCACGAAGCCCAGGGCTGTGGGGAGGTCTACAAGAGCAGAGATCTGCAGATGATGGTCGTCAGCAAGAGGTGAATGCAGATTTTGATGGGGCCAGGAAAGAACTGTTGAAACAGATCCGATATGACATATCAGGTGCTGAAGAGGTAATGTTCTTGCTGACTTCGGCAGTATTGCGAATAAACTAAAGCCCAACACAGAAGCGCGCGATCCTAGCACGGAGAGTCTTTCATGATGTTTGCGAGGTCATCGAAGAATTATATCCAGATTTTGAATCTAACGCGAACTCTGTCGCCCAAACGAGCCCACACCCTTCTACAAGGTCTGCTTCACAGGTAAACAAAGAAAAGAGATGAGTCTTACACCTGAGCAGGAGAAATCAAGACTTTTTCGACTCAATATTACTCGACAGTCTCATTCTAGTGAAGGAACTACAGAAATGCCTCAATGAGCAACGTGAAATCACCCAGGAAGAGAAAGGTAGTCCCCCAACTGGAGTGCTTCGTATGCTTCTTTGCTCATCTTAAGTGTTTTGTATGCCCTTTGGTTCATCTTGATCGTCCATGCAGAGGTTTTCTTTTGGAAATCTAGATCAAAACAGCAAAAGCAGCAGAAAGAACAGGTCATACGGTTGCACTCGATTTACCACTTCCGTGTTTATGTCGATTTGATCTTCAGATGGTTCGACATCAAGTCGACAAGTTGAAAATGAAGCAGATTATCAGATTCCTTGGAGATCTCTCTAAGAAATCGAAGAAGAGGATTGCCAAGCGCGAAGTCATGTTCAGGGCTGCGTTTTTGGAGGTCATGCATGGGAAAAAAGTATTAAAGAAATGCTTCGATGCAGTCGTTTACAACCGGACAAAGAGTCTTGCGCGGCTGGGGTACAGCCTGTCGATGATTCTTCATGAAACTAACTCGATCTCAACCAAGGGTTATTCAAAGGCTTGAAAAGTTTTGCGTCCATCGTTTACAGTTCAACATGCTTCAAAAGTGGTACATTTTTGTCGTCAGGCAACGTTCGGCAAGGTAATTCTAATCATTCCTTATAACTTTCTCGGTATTAGATTCGTCCTCATGTGTTGATGGTGCAGTCATCGACACCATACATTCTGCAGACTCCTGAGAAAGAGCTGGATATCCAAGGTAACACTTGCTCAATTTTGATATCGCTGTAACGACCATCTGAAGATTTTCCATTCGTGGCGAGTCGAAAGTGTCAGGGTATCGATTTGAAGTCCAAATTTTGATATTCTGAATCAGTCGTTGCAGCCCGCTGCATGTCATGTCGTGCTAGACTGTTCTTGTCGATCACAAAGGGTCTGCATATGTCGCATTGCGAAGGTACCTCATTCTCTGTGGTAGTAATGCGCGTAACAAAGGATCCAGTCCGCTGTTCACATACAAAGAGTCTGGAGACGTGTAAGTGCAATACGCAAAGGCATGCAAGGGCTGCCTACTCCTTCATCTCAGCACATTCAAATTGAGAGGCGTGAATCGGATTCCCTGGTTTGAAGGAGGCGGGGAGACTCATATGCCTGACGTTTTCTGGAGGTTGAACGGAACACTCCTGTCGAGAAGTACGACGCTGACAGGCATGAGGCATCGTCACAGGTCCATAATGCATTCGCGGCTTGAAGCTGCTGAAGGAGTCGCTATGCAGGACTTGCCGGTCGAGAAGATTATCATAGAACAGAGCCCTGCCAAAGATCCCCCCACAAACTTCACAATCCTCTCGCCTGCATTCCATGCGTGGAGATATCATGTTCGATTCTATGAATGATGAATTCTTGAAATTATCATATATAAAACTTATGTTTTGTGTCGTTTAGCTAATATACATTCCTCAGGCTGTTGCCTGACGGGCCATCTGGTTCATTTTATTTTTGAAAATTTGAATACGGTCGGCTTTCAAACTTTGAAAGAAGTGGGCAGTGGAATAGTACCGGTTATTTTTAGTTGCTAACGTGGGGTACATATGTACAGAAAATGACTCATCCACCCACCGGGGCAAGGTAAAATGGCTTGGAAGGTGTGGACGGCAGGAGGAGCGGCGTTGGTAGTCATGGCGGCAGCGATTGGAATCCTCAGCACGCGATACGAACAGGATAGTATGGAGACGCAAGATGATGTGCTTCCGTCCTTGTTGGAATACACAAGAAGCAAGCTCAGAGCAGTGATGTTACATTTTCATGTGCTGATCAAAATCTGATTGATCTTACCTCAGACAAACTTCGATAAGTGTTGTTCGTGCTCGTCGGGAGGGAGTGTAAGCTCTTCCAACAACAAGCATGCTGGTGTAGTGAACGAAAAGCAGGGTGCACGAAGAAATCTTCTCCTCCCGTCGACTGAATCAGAGGTGCACCAATTCAATTCTCAAGCAACGGATCTCCAAATTGAGGACGATGAAAGGTGAAAGATTCACTGGAAATTGCATATGTTGATTCATGGACTGCTTTATCAGAGTACCTGTTATTGGGGCTAGTCCGTGGAGTGGGGACGAACGGACTCGCAGCATTTCGTGGACTGAAAATTTTTCGTTGGACCAACTCATCGCTCATCTGCTTTCCACTAATTCCAGCAATGAGACCAGTACCAACGCCACAGACTCAAACACAACATCCGCTTCTAATGCCACGGACTCGAACACAACATCCACTTCTAATTCCACGGACTCAAACACAACGTCAGCTTCAAGCAACTCAACAGTGAACAGCACCAACGCAAGCTCTCCTCCCGCAGCAGCTCCATGCTGTGCTTGTCCTGGTACATGTCTGCCACTAGTGAGCCTGAGCTTCTGCTCTATTCTCAGTGGGTTGAATGGAACTGTGCCTGTGGGCTTCTCCTCCAATGATTCTTTCTCCACAACAGCACAGACGATTGATTCAGTTGTGAAGGGTATGTACGTGTGAAACATCTTGATCATTGTGTGTGATACATCTTCATAGCGTCATACGCGTCATACTTGACAAAAGGTTACGATTCAAGCACTAAGTGTCTACTGTACTTCAAGTCGGTAAGAACCTCGTTGATTCGCTGACTTTCTTAACTGGTTTCTTGCTTTCTTGACAGTACATGTGCACACAATTCCTTTCTCCTTGTGTAGCTGGAACCTCAACCGTTTCTTCAGCATGCCAAGAAGCTTGTATAGGATACTGGCAGTGTTTTGTAAGTGAAGATGTTTGTTGTGATCACTTATTGATAATTGAATTCAGAACCGAGCGGATTTTGCTCAAAGAAATTGTAAGCAATCAAAGAGTACCGCTGATTGCATAGCCAGCGGAGTAGTGATTCCTTCAGGCCTGTTGCATTCACTTGTTATTTCAAGTGACGATGACGGTTTCAGCTTCGGCTACGCCGACACCCTCCCCTATTTCGACATTTCCTATCTCTGTCAGCGGAGCTGTGACCATGCCTGTCCCTCCTTCCAGCTTCGACGAGACCAAGAAGTCGAAGTTCCGCACTGCCATAGCAAAAGCTTGCTCCTTGTCTGTTGACAGGGTCACCATCACCGCGATCACAAGCAGTCGCCGACAGACCGCAAGCTCCACCGTTGAGTTTGCGGTGCAAACAGCTGACCTGATTGGTGGGTCAACCATTTTGGCCAGTTTAACAGCAAGCAGCGTAAGCAGCGCGTTGGTGGAGCAAGGACTTGAGGCCGGCACGCTGTTGGTGAGCTCACTTTCCTTGTCTACGCCAACAGGGACGGAGAAGATTCGATACCTGGAGTTTGAGTGTGAGGCGACAATGACTTGTTCCCAATATCAGAAAAGGTGAGTTCCCCGCTGCTTGAGCTCATGCTGTGCGTTCATACCACCTGCATGCAGGAGCTACTTGTACAGGAAGAGCGTGGCGACCCTCTCACAAGTTGATGTAAGACACGTCGATTGCTCTCAAGTCTACTCCTCATTCTTCAACTGCAGGTGTCCATGGTCACAGTCGTGCAAGCTCAGGACGCGTCTCCAGATCTTTGCAATCTCAAGACAAAGGTATCGGCACTCCGTTCTTCCTTTCTAGTGCCACGTCCTGCGAGCCTTCTAACTACTTCCTTGAAGATTCAGACGACAGAAAGTTTGGTCACGTCAACAAAGCAAACCATTAGCATCATTTCTCTGAATGGAGAGCTTTTGAGGAATGGTATGCAATCAAAGACAAGCGTTTAGTTGCAAGTTGCCTGAAGTTGATGCCCATTCCAGGAATACCGAATTGCAAAACTGTGACGCAGGTCACAGAGGTGACTTCGGGTGCTAGCTCCACTGCATTGCGACAAGACTCACTAGTGCATTCTCTGTTCTTAATCCTCTCGTTCTTCCTCTTGCTGCCCCAGATCTACACTGTAACATAATAATGAATTCGACTCTTTCAGCTTGCACGACACACATGTGTTCGGTCATAAAAAGCTGGCGCAGGTTCAGGGAAGGCAGAGGCCTCTTTTTTAGTCAACTTGAGATGTTCCAAATTTGACTGAAAATTTCGATACGTGATAGAGAGATTCTCAAGCTTGAGACTATGTCAGCTCAATCTGCAGGCAATGCATCTAACACTCCATGTTAGTTGAGATGAATCTCTATTTTCAGATATTTGTCTGGATCGCCTGAAAGACGTCGGGTACATTAGGAGTATATATGAAAGGAAAGACATCACATCAATCGGTAAGGCCTCATTCCAGATCTTCGCTTGTAATTGACCGAGAATCCAGCTTCATTGAATTTCAACATCTTCAGCGGAGAATTCAGCCTGTTGAAATCTTTGCCGCCATCTCAGAAGTCAATTTCAGCAATGAAGGAACACTTGGAAAGATACTCGAATCACCAACTCTGCCTGGACTTGAAGCAGTTTCAAGAGATCTTTGAGTTTTGTCGCAACGTGGTCAGCAGCAAAACTTACGAGGCAACAACGGTACGTCTAGAGGAATCATCAGTGCTTTTTTCTTGGATGACGTGCTAACTTGCTCATTCCGCAGCAAAAGTATGCATATAAACTCCTTGCCGTCACATTAGACGCCAGGATTTCAAAACAAGGGAGAACATCAGAAGAGTTTCAAAATACGGTCAAGACTACTTGTCAGTTTGTCGTCGGTCAATTGTTGGATAATCAGCTCTCAAAGAACGCTACTTTGCTTGCAGAAAGAATTGAAGTGTGCAACCGCCTCTGCTTCAAACATCCTGAAGCGCTGGACAACTGTGTGATGGCAGGAAACAAGACTGCATACGAGTATTACAGAAAGGCTCTCTCCTCGCACATCAAGAATGAGAAGACAATATGTGGTCCTGGTGGATGCATCTCTGGGATGAGAGGGTTGATGTCGCATTTCCGATTCAAAGAGATCGAGGCAAGCAGTCAAGAACTGATGAAGGACTGCACAACAACCCTGTGGAAGTGGCTGGATACAACAACTAAGATTCGCAAGTATGATGTGGTGAAAGCCTCTTTGAGACTGCTTGAGGAGCATCCGAAAATTGTTGCTAAGTACTTGATAGAATGTGTGAGGATTCCCACGATTTGCAATACTCTCTTGAAATGGTGCAGACATGTCGACAGAGAAGTTAGGTCAGCTGCTCTGAGCGCATTCGACGCCTGGAGCAGTCATCTAAGGAAGTATCCTCTATCACGACAAGAAGTGGAAGACTTGTACGTCACATACAAGGACTTGATGGAAGAGAGCGATTTGAGGTGCGTGTCTCTCTCTTTCAGAGGAAGAGGGTCTATTTCATCGCATGTAGCAAGTTATCAAATGAATGTCTTGGATGATTTTATACCAAGCTGCTGGAGATACTGGAATCTCGTTTTGAGTAAGCCGGATGATGAGGAGCAAAACAATCTGATGGTTGAGATCCTACCTAATTTTCTCATATCCGTCGCTGACGTCATCTTGAACATCCCGGTACGATCACATCATCTAGAAAAAATCGATTTGTGAGTACTTTGCAGAAAGCGGTTGAAGATCAAGATTGCTCTTTCTTCATTGGTGAAGCAGTCCGATTTCTCTTCCAATCTTATCCATCGATCATGAAGATCAAGCAATATCTCCATGAGCGTGCTTGGTTCTTTCTGTACTTCTCAGTGAAGACGTGCTCTACTCCAGACCTTAACTGTTCCTTTCTCGTTCCAACTGCTCTCTCTGCCAGCATTGAATCCACCCAGCCGGGAAACCGTTTACTTTCAGTAGAACAAGCAGAAGAGCAGAATGAGAATTCCTCTACTTCACTAATTAACCTCTGGACCTGCATACTGGACAACACTCATGTGGAATGGATTGAGAACAATGTACAATCTAGACAGGGAGACAAGAACAAATGCAATATTGGCCTTCAGGAGGTTCAATTTGACATCTTAAATCGTCTTCTAAGCCAGACTGTCATAATTCTCAACTCCTTGGATTTGTCCTTGACAATTGAAAGACGGCCTGGCGATGGTCCAGACTCACCCCAATCGAGGTTTTTGTCTCCTGGAAACCACAATGACCTTAGAATCTACAGCAAACTGTGCAACCTCTGCGCTGGAGTACTGGAAAAGCTGGTTAGATGCTCGAATATGGAGAATCTGAATCTGAGAGCTTTCATGAGATCTATCCTGATGATTGCAGTTCGAAACCCAACACTAACCGGTCTCTTGAAAATTCTGACACCAAGCATTCAGATCTCTAGCAGATCCAAAGAGCTAAAAGATTACTTACAAAGCTTGAATGAACTTCAACAGCTCGCCCGCAATGTGAGAAAAATGATTTCTCATCTATTGAAAGTTAATCATTCATGAGCACAGGTGTCCGATCTTTCCATGCAACATGAGAACGAGGAAGATCTTTGCTGCAGCCTCGAGTTTGTGATGGCTATACCCATGGACCTCATCGAGTTTTCAATCCATGACCGCGTCGTCCGACTTTCGTTGTCTGTTGGGTTTGCTCGAGAGACACTTCTTGATCGAACTTTGAAGTTCATCGAGGAATGGATAGAAAGTGAGCAGCTTGAGCATATTTCTCAACTAGTGGAAGTCTGCAGACTCGTCGAGCTCTACTTGCAAAAGGACAGAAATATTCAGCAGGAGAGCAAAATGAACAGTAGGTCGAGGCAAGATACGCGGAGAAGAAGTCGTGTGGAAAAGAACGCTGAGGTACATGTAGAGTTTGCAAGGCGAGCAATTTGCATACTTGGAAAGACAAGTCACCTGATGTGGCATACATCAGTGGATGCAGATCTCAGGGGAAATGTGAACAACCATTCAGCTCTTCTCCGACTGACCTTGGAGAAAGGAGCACTGGGGGTCTTTTACCTGGACAAGATCACAGCGCGTATTCTCGAAATAGCATCTGATTTTCCTGATCAAAAGACGAGACTGATATTCGCAGAGATTTTGCACACAATAACGTGTCTCGTCATTGGCAAAATCAAATCCAACGGTAAAAAATCTGAAGATAAGGCTGAACTGTCTGTTTTACATACCTTCGGACAACTGTACGGAACTATCTTGACATTCAGTGCAGACATTGTCAAGGAGATCAGAATGATCTGTAGCACTCTCAACGAACAAATCATCAACTGGCTTACTTCTGATTGCCAAACACTAGCATGTTTCTCTGTCGAAGCGTTTGATGCGATCATTGAAGACTCACGGTCGTCGGTAGCCTCAACGAAGTGGGCTGTAATGATGCTGGAGAAGCTTTTAGAGAAAGCGAGGAGCCAGCGATCTAAGCGACAAAAACCTGAAGATGCGGTAATCACTCTTCTTATGAATAGATTGTACGGCATCCTGAGCCACCCAGATGCTTCTCAACGGCTGGCCGGATCTCTTATCACCGTTGACCTTGCAAACTTTCTAATGAATGGAAATTGTGATTTCGGATTTTTTGTGAAGCAGCATACAATTAAGCTCTGCACTTGCTGCATGATCGGTTTGAATTTCACAGCCACAGATTACTCAATGCCAAAGGTAGAGCTCAACATTATGCGAGCCTTGGCCCAGACTGAAAAGCTTTTGATCCAATCATACCGAGTACACCAAAACGAAGACGTTGAAGAATTCGAGAAATTTGTTGAGAGGGTAATGCAAGGTTTGTTTTCTCCATATAAGTCAACTCGTGTCTATTGCCAAAATCTAGTCCAAAAATTTAGAGAAGATAACCAGGACATTGGCAGTCCCTTCAATGAAGAACGACTGATTTCATTGCTTCGTATACGCTTTAAAGATGTGGCAACGACCGCAACTTTGAGATTAGAGTCTTTTGTATGGTTGATCAACCTCGGCTTTGATATCGAGAAACGGATGGATGCAGTTCATGAAACGGCATTGCTGGAGCTCTTACCTTGCCCTGAAGATTTCATATCACCAAATAACAAGACAGCTCGAACTTGGCATCTAGTGAAGATTGAGCTGCTTCTTTGCCATGAGATTTTCAAACGATTTACGACGCAGAATTCAGCAGCAGACCTTCTGCCTAAAATCAATGCCGTGTTTCTTTGGGATTGCTTGTGTCCTCTAGGAGCTAAAAGCACAGAGATTTCGAACAAAGACTGTGAGCAGGAAGTCATAAACATCATAGACAAGATCCTGGAATGCATTCGGTCATGTCAGTCCATTCGACAAACCTTTCAACAGAATATTCTCAACCTTTGCGATCAGGGTAATGTCTTATCACTACAAAATTTCAATATGCTAGTAGCAAAATTTGGACATACGGAGCTGAGAGTCTACTTTCGAAATTGCATGCTACTCATCAAGAGAGGTTATGCGCTTTGCGGAGAGAAAATGCAACGGAACATAGCTGAAGAAATCTGGCATTATGCCCAAACGAACAAAGATCTTTATTTACCAGAGCTTTTACATGTTGCTTTAGAGTTGAAGAAGATGCCTGACAAATATTTTCAAGATGTCATCAGAGGTGCGGAAAACGAACTAGTTGAGTTGTACTTGAGATACAGAACGACTTTCGATCGTCACTTTCTTGAAAATGTCCAAGACCTTGATTGTGCCAGTAGTTTGAAGCATGTAAAGTTGCTCAGTAATATGATTGACACATGCAAACTACAAAGATTGCATCAAGAGGGAAAATCTCTCGTAAAAACAATATCCTGCAGCTGCATCATTGCAAAAGAGACACTATTTAATATGCTAAGTGTGTCACGTCAGCAATCTTTGGATTTGATTCGCTTGATCAGTGATCTTCTAAACTTTGTCATTAATGACAAACAGAGTTCAGAAACAGGCAAGTTCATTATTTCCTGCCAAAAATGGTTGTGTGCATTTCTTGAACGCAAACCGCTCTTTGAAGAACTTACAACCTTGCTGCCTATGCTTTTCAATCTATTGCGGTTTGATTGTGACAGGACCATGATCATACAATCTCTCAAAGGATATTTAAATCCTGAGCTTTCCAAGATTTCGAATCAAGAAAGAGAGTCATGCATAGCACAAATCATACGATTTATTGCAAACACGGACAAGATCGAGGCACTAGAGGTCATGACTTCATTTTTCGCCTCAGCTGCTGAGTGCACAGAAAAGACCAAGGCAGATGTTCATCACGTCTTGGATATCTTCTTTGCAAAGTTGTCAGAAGAAGAGCAAGAGGATGCTATGTACACTCTTGTTGAGAGTCAGTGGATCCAATGTGGAAGTGATAAAGGGCAAGGATGCAGGTGGACCTTGAAAGAGCTTTGCATGAGGGGATATGCAACGATGAAGGAAGCCAGTGTGGTGTCTTTGTTTCAAAAATGTTTTCGAATGATCACGAATGGTGCAAATTCATTGATTGCAGCAGAAAAATTTTCTCAAAGTGACCAGAACAAAATCATATGCTTGTTGCATGTTGTAAAGTTGGTTTATCTCAAGTCACAACAATCCCAAGATGATATCTCCATAGCCTTGATTAAGGGTTTAGAGAGAGTTTGCAATTTACCATTACCCTCAGAAGATGGAAGTCTCGCTAGAGAATTTTATCAGGCATGTCAAAGTACCTTATCAATCATATTTGCACGTACACAATTTGAACCAGAATTGTTTTTTGAAATCTTGGTCAAGAAATGGGATTGGAACTTTATCATCAATGGTGAAACAAGGCCGTATGAACCATCAGAATCCATGATAAGTTACTTCGGAGAGGACAATGAGACTGACCTCAAGCATGATGAAAATTTTCAAGACAACTCAAAATCATCCAGTCAGTCAACTTTCGAACCCAGTCAAGAAGTGTTAAATGATTGGCAAAAACAATTTCGAACTAGAAATGTCCAAGCTATTGAAAAGTCAGCTCCATACGATCTGAACTTCTGCATCCATGGAGATCGTCTTGACGAGAATGAGTGTATGCATTCCCTGTGCTTTGCACTTCTCAGTTTTGAACAATTGTACAATGATGATCTCGATAAGATAAATTTGATCTTGAACGATATATTTTCTACAATTCAAGACCAGATGCAAGAAAAGAAAATTACCAAGATCTTCTTTTTCAAATTGATTATCAATTATTTAAAGCTTAATCGAAATCCAGCTGTCTTGAAAAATCATCGGGAAAACATACTCCAAGTCTTCTTTGAAACTGAAACATACTTAATCCAGGAAAACCAAGAAAATGGATCCACAAAGATAAGGTATGCCATGGTTCTTGTTACAGAGACGCAAAGACTTTGGTTCTCTTACAAAGAGCTGTCACTACAGACGCTAAGTACCAAGGAAGCATCACGATGCTGGTCATTCCTTCGTGATCTGATGACGTATAATATAGAAATGATCGACACGTCTAGCGAAAACGATTCCTTATACCCGACGTTCACAAACTTCTTGTCAAGCTGGAGGGAATATGCAACAGTTGAAGATTTGAAAGGTATGTTGACCAAGATTAGAGATCTTTATGAAAAACGCAAAAACAACTCTGTGATAATGGGACTTCGCTTTCAATTGTGTGTTTGCGGTGTTGAGGAAAACGAGAGAGAAAAAAAACCAGGAGCACTTGTCAATCTCACAGACAGCAACTTGTCGAATCTTATGAAGGACATTGGAGATTATCTCGCCTCTTTCATGCTACCTTCACAAGAGACGAATTCAGAGAAAGAAAAATTGAATTCAAAATTGCTGGTTCGACATCCAAGTTCGCTGTGCGGTGCATGGATGGCTCTGATGGGGAATCAGGAACGAAAGTATATGGAGAAGCAGGTGGGGGATAAGCTGAAAAGCCTGGCCAGAAAGGGAACAGTCGATCAACTTGTCATTAGGGTTCGCAGTTTGTGCGAGAGGTATCCTAAAGCAGCAGTATTGTCACATTCTTACCTCAGAGTGCATGAAAAGAATATTCATGAAATGCTTTCGCAGAAACTTGATATCAAACGCCTCCAAGTGAAGTACCTGCAAAGTCTCAAGGATGTGAATCACGATAATCATGCTCCAGATATCAAAAATGACCAACTGCAAGAAATAGCAATGGACGTCAAAACAGCCATCTTGAAGGGCCATGAAGCAGACGAGAATTTCTTTCGCCTTTTAAATGGACGAGGAGAGAATCCATTAGCAGACAAAGAGAAACCCGCGAGTGCTCTTCTCCAAACCATTGATCTCGAGCAGCTCGCTGCAATCATCCAGAGTACTTTAGTGCATCACAAAGCATTCTGTCAATCATCTGACAACCTTCGAATCCATTACTTCATAACCTTGCATGATGTGTTTGAGAGGTTGTTGAGCCTTGAGCAGACTTGTCTTCGGGAGCAAGTACTCGCTTATCTGATGTCGTCGCTTGGAGATCCAAACGGAGAGGTGCGGAGTTTCTTTTTGACTTGGTACTGCAGTAAGATCAAAAACAATCAACCGCTTGACTTGTTGCTTCGAGTCCTCACAGACTTCTCACGTGCCAACGAGAGGGGCTCCGGAGAGATCTGGCTACGAACTTTCAGTCATTGTATCTTGCAGATGTACGATGATTCCAATTCCAAACTTTCGACGCACCTCTTTGCAGGGGAGTCGAGTTCAGGGAGTTGAAAGTCTCCCAGTCCTCTTCTCTCACTCCCTCGACATTTGAGAGTCAGTCGTTCACTCTGGACTGCCTGAACTTCTCGACGGAGAACGAGTCTACCTTCAACTCATTTGACGCAATGGAGCTCGATGACTGCCACGACGATCCTTCCGTGAAGTCACGTTCCAAACTCAACCGCGAGTTTGCACAGACTTTTGAAAGATTGCAGAGATGGAGATGTCCAAACCGAAAGCCACTTCGAGTGAATTCACTGAAGGGCAAGCATGCATCATACCTTGAAAGAATCCGCTGTGCAAAAGCCAAAGAAATTTCTCGTCGAAGGGAGCAAGCAGAGCTGAAAAGAAAATCAAAAATCTATCTGTCTCGAAGTTACTTTCAGGGAGATGTTCCTTTCATTGAGATCAAGCAATCTGATCTGATTCAACTCTTGCAGCAGGCAACCTACCAAGACTCTCAGTTGTGTCAAATCGTGATTCTAGAATTCGTGGATGTAGTTTTGAAGAAAAACAACGAATACCAAACAAATTTCATCAAGCTCCTCCAACAACCGCTGGTGAATGCTTTGAACCTTGATTCCTTTCAATCTCCCATGGTTGTTTCAACCTTGGTGAGCATTGCAAGAAAGATGAATCTCGATGTCGATTCCAGACTTCTTGTTGCTGTCTGCAGAAATCATTCACAGTGCATCTATGATGGAATATTGAAGCTTGAAGATTCCGAATCAATCTCAGAAGAAGAAAGACCTGCAAAAGCTGAGAAGAGGAAACTATCAACTCCCCAGTCTACATGGCAGTCACTCTCCATGTTATATTCCCTACTTGAAGAGAGTGACATGGAGATCGGGGTCTACGAGAAGTACCTGACGGCATTCGGAAGAGAGAGCAAGGCATTGATTGCTCTGAACCTCAAGATTGATCGCAGGTATGAGGAAGCAATATCACATTACGAAACATTGCTGGCCGGGGACAGCATTGCAAGAGAAATGGCTGACATCTGTGAACGAGGGTTTCAAGAAAGTTTGCTCAAGAGCCTGCAATTCTCAACGTTGGAAAAGAGAATCAAAGATCAGCACACCTCTGAAGATACAAATAGTGAAAGCATAAGTGGCTTTGAAGTGGAATTGTTGAAATTAGAAAACTGGAAAGTTTTGCAAAGTTTCTTGCAATGTCAAGTTGGAAATATCTTCCGGGACTTCGATACTTTTGGGGACTCTCAGGACTCGACAAATTGTCTCTCAAAGGCGTTCTTTAAGTCAGAACGAACACAAAAAGAATATTGTTTCGAGCATTCCCTTGCAAGCTTGCTAAAGAACTCACAACAAGTTGAGTGCGAGGAGATTGTAAGAAGTGGAATCACGCACCTTTGCAACTCATGGGAAGAAAGTATTGGTCTCGGAGAAGATATGAAGATCAAGAGGATCATAGAGCTTCAGAGACTCGTCGAGCTCGACGAGTACTTACACTCGATTGGCAATGTGCAGGAGTTTGAGAGGCTACTTGCCAGGTGGAGCAAGCGACAACCAAAGAGCACTTGGAGAAGTATGGAATTAGGATGGGATCAGATCTTGCTAGGGAGATACATCTTTCTCAGACATGCTGAGTCTTCTAGCCTGACCTCTGAGTGCATTCAAACTCAGAGATTGTGTGATGAGATGAAGTCGCAAATCGCAATGAAGTTTGCGACTGGGTTCGCACGATGTAAAAATTATGCTGCTTCAGGAGTCGCAGAGCAGTTAGGGAAGGTATCAACAAGCTGCGAGTATAGGTCCAGAAAGGTAAAGTTAGACTGCATTGTGAAGTCAAATCAGAGCATTGCTGAAAAGGAGCATTTATCTGCGTTAGTGCATCATGTTTCATTGAATGATTCAGCTGGAGAACGCGATGGTGTGCCATGGCGAATCAAGTGCTTGCTCCGGATGGCACATGTCTACGAAACAATGGGAGAGAATGAAAATGCACTCAAAACCTTTAGAGAAGCAATTGACGGCAGTAAGGATCTTGCAAAGAATGCTGGGATCAAGCTAAAGTACATGGCAAAAACAAACTTCCTTGCCGCTCTCTTCTGTGATAATCAGATGAAAGAAAGCAATCAAAACAAACATTCACAAACAGGAAAACATGCGTATGACGAAACATTCTTGAACTTCTTCTTTGACAGCTTGTTGTCAGCCGTTGAATATGGTTGTGAAAAGGCAAACTACAACCTTCCCCGATTTCTTGAGGTCATAGAGAATATTGATCAAAAAACTAGGGCTAGTGTAAAGCAGTTGTTCAAATCCAGGGGATTTTCAGTCCAACCTCTCATACAATGGTTGCAGCAACTTGTGTATCTTCATCACAAGTTTCATCGAAACAAGGACGACGAGCTCACTTCATATTTCATCCAAGAATTGTCGAAGCACTACCCACAAGCAGTGTATTTGGCGTTTCAAACAGTATTCGGAACTGAGACAGATTCTTTTCTCGACCATCTCTTCAGCCACATCAAACAAAAAGTGGAGTCTATCGAAGAAGTTCGGGATGCCATGCACCTCCTGCAAGATCCGAGGTTGCAGATCAATGAAGTTCTCAAGAGGTTGAAACCCGGAGGAAACAAACTCAATCCAGAAGACAGTCAGATAATATCATATCTGAACAAATCATTCGTCGACCAACCCAAGATGAGTGAAATAAGGGGGAAAATGATGAGAGAAGACGAGAACATCGCTAAAATGATCCATGCACTGTCACAGAAAAGTGGAGCTAGAACGCTTGGAAACGAGGTGAAGTTTTTGAAGCCCTTAGCTTTGAAAAGTTCAACCTTGAGGTTGTTTTCAACGCACCTCTCACGATTCGAGGGAACGTTTGAAGAGGAGAAAAGCCTAGTTATTCCTTACCAAGCTCTCGGAAGCAGAAGAGTTCCATCAGAGTCTCACTTTCCAAGGTTGATGTCTTTTGACGACAGAATCAACTTCTTTCCGTCCAAGCAACGCCCAGTGGGAGTTACAATGAGAGGATCGGACGGGAAGGAATATGGGTGGATAGTGAAGTGCGGTGAAGATCTGAGACTAGACGAACGGTTGCAACAGGTGTTCGGAGTGATGAATCGACTGATGCTCTCAGACGTGAACTGCTCCAAGAAAAGTCTTCATCTTCTCACGTACTCCATTGTAACACTGAGTAAGCATGCTGGCATCATTGAGTTTGTGGGACAATCTAAACCACTCGAGAGCTTCGTCGACAAAACGTATCAAGCTTTTTCGCGATATCTTGTCTCTGCTAACATGCTCCTGGTAGGGTCTTGAATGAGCAGGGAAAGAAGTTCATGGAGAAAATCTCACAAAAAACATGGCTCCATACTATCAGTAGTGAGAAAAGTCTCCATGACCTCACAACAGCTTTCAATGAAGTCGTTGCCATGCAAGATCCTTTATACTTTCGAAAATCTTTGCTGACTGATGCAAGAAGTGCAAAGGTGTACTGTTGTGTTGCAGTCTGACGAAGATGATGTATAAATGGCAGGAGGAATACACCATGAGATCAAATTTTATCAAGACCCTTGCAACCATGAATTCGTGTCATTACATCGTGGGAATAGGTGACGATCCTCATGCTCTTTCACAACGACGAAGACGACGATGATGATGATGATGATAACGATGATGATGATGAGGAGGAGGATGATAATGATGGGGAGGAGGAGGAGGAGGAGGAGGAGGAGGAGGAGGATATTCACGACCATGCAGGAGACAGGCATCTGAAAAACTCTCTCGTGCTCAAGGATGGACGAATCTTAGGGATCGACTTCGGTTATGCCCTCGGCTTTGCAACTATCAGACTGCCTATCCCTGAGCTCGTGCCCTTCCGCATGACGCCACAAGTGAGGGAGAGGAAGTGAATACTTTGATCTTGACCTCTTCCTGCAGTTCTTGGGGATTCTTCACCCTGTTGATGGGAAAGGCAGCATGAAGCACACGATGGCAAGGGTGCTTCAGACGCTCCGAGGCTCGCGGACAGCTCTCTTGAACCTTTTGTCGCTGTTTGCGAAAGATCCCGTTCTGAGCCTGATGATAGACGTGGACGACATCGTCAAAGTGAGGTCGTCAGTGTGAGATGAGAGCTCTGACGCAGTGATAGGATGTCAAAGGAAAGTTGGAAGGACGGAATCCATTCTCAATCCTGAGAGAACAAGTGACAAGGAATGGGAGAGTGACAAGTGCGCATCAGAACTTAGCTCGCCTCATCGACAAGGTCGAGGAAGAGGCTGGCACTGGCAGCCATTCCGCCAGTCTGAGCTCCTTCGAGCAAGCTGATTCGCTGCTGGAGATAGCAACATCAAGAGACATTCTTGCCCGGTACGTCAACCGAGGGAGAGGAGGGAGAACTGATCGCATTTCGTTGATCCTGCAGAGCCTTTGAGGGATGGAGTCCTTACGTCTAAGACTGAGAGCTGAGTGAAGTGATATCTTGACTCAAAGATCAGGGTAGTGAGTAAGGTCTTGTTCGAATCTATATCTTGACTCCAAGATGTAGTGAGTAAGGTCTTGTTCGAATCTATATCTTGACTCAAAGATGTAGTAAGTCATTGAAGGTCTTGTTCGAATCTATCGTCAGACCGTCACTCGGCTGTTGCCTGACTCTGTGATCGGACTGAGTTGCCGTCCGAGCCCGGACCGGGCCTGCCTCCGAGGCTCGGTTCCGGGTGAATGATCTGGTGAATGATACGCAATGTAGAAGTCCGCCTCACTGTATCCAGTAGGAGAAGGAGGGGACAGAAGTTGAAAGCTACTAGGTTCCTGCCTGTCCCCGACATTTTCATCGGAAGTCAAACCGAACTGTGCGATGGCAGGGAGGGGAAGCAGTGAAGGAGGGGAGGGAGGAAGGGAAGAAGGTGAAGGAAGGTGAGCGGAGAGCTTCAGAGGCAGGCAGAACAGACTGAAAGTCAGGGTGGGAGAGAAGAATAGGGGAATTCAGTGAAGACAGCGGCAGCAGGAGACATGAAGGGGAGCTTCGTAAAGAGGAGCAAAGACTGCCAGACAGTGTCTGCTGGGTTTCGATCTGCTCGTCCACTTTCTGCCCGTGAGCCGTTTGCCAACCATACGAGGACGGAGCATCTCCGACCCTTGTCTGCTCGAGCTGGAGGTGGCAACTCAGCTGGAGGTGGCAACTCAGCATTCTGTGTCGTGGGGATGTCGAAGGAGGCAGCAGAGATGAAGGTGGCGGTGTCAGATCTCAGCAGGAAGAAGCCTGTCAGGCCTACGTCTGCATACATGTACAGAAAGACTGATGCGCTAGGAAGGAATGGTCTTGAAGCTGGGCAAGAAGCAGACGGTCTCGGTAACAGGAGAGCGGTGAACGTGGTGCAGGAGTCTCATACTCGCATTTGTGTCTTTTCAGATGTAGGATCTTCTCTTCAAGACTACCAAGTGATCGCCAAGCTCGGTCAAGGTGGAAGCGCGAATGTCTTCCTGGCGAAGCTGCGGCATGATCAATCGCCTCGTGTATTGAAAAGGATCGTCCTCGGAAGTAAATCTCCTGCTCCTTCGAGCGAGCGTTTCAGGTTGACTTACCTCTACCACCCTCCTCTCTGCTGTCTTGAAGTTTTTCCCTCTTCTCTGCTGTCTCCTCTCCTCTATCATTTCTCCTTCGTGCTATCAGCTCTAAAGGCTTGATAGCGCAATCGCCAAGGCCGAGCGGGACAACGTGATGCGGGAGATCAAGCTGATGTCGCGCTTACGCAGCGCTCACTTCGTCCGGTACTACACGAGCTTCATGCAGAAGGAGGAGGGGAAACATCCCTGCATCTTCATCGTGATGGAGCATGCGGAGAAAGGCTCTGTCTCCTCTCTCATCGCCGACGTGAAGTCTCGGGGGCTGTTCTTCGACGAGCAGGTGTGCGACGTTGAGATCTCCTGCGGTCTCTGTCTTGACATGGTTCAGATGATCTGGAAATGTCTCTTGCAAGTTGGGTCAGGCTTGTGCTCTCTGCATGACTTGAGGGTCATCCACCGAGACATCAAACCCGCCAACATCCTCGTAACCGCCGATGGTGCTTCCCCCCCTCCTCCTCCGGTGAGCCCTGATCTCTGCTGCAGACAACTTCAAGATCGCGGACCTTGGAATAGCCGTCGACACATCCCTGGCTAACGTGCAGGGCCGAATGAGGACAGGAAGGCGAGTTGACGTTTCGAACGATTTGACCGCTCGCTCCCTCGTTGTTTCTCCTCGCTTCTCTCAAACTTTAGTTCTCTTACATTCACACCGTTCGTCGTGCAGATGTGGCACAGTTGCCTACATGGCGCCGGAGGTTTCCAACGATTCCCCTTACGATGCAAGAGCAGGTGATGTTGACGGAGAGACTCACACCTCCTGCTCTTGACCACCGTTCCTCTGCGTCTGCGAGACGTGACGTGTTGACCGCAGATGTCTGGTCGTTGGGCTGTATGCTGTTTGAACTTGCCCTGCTCTCTCCTCCGTTTCCTGCAGGCACTCAGATCGATACCATGTGATGTTGAGGGCAGCCTGTCGCCTTGCTCACGGTCTTGACAGAACTCGAGTAGAGAACGGCATCAGCCTTGAAGAGATCGAGACGAGGGCCGCAACCCTTCATCTCCCCCAGAGATATTCAGACAAGCTGAACAATCATGTTATGTGGTGAGAGGCAGACGATGCGTCTGTCTTGTTTTCCTTCATCCCCCTGTTTCATGGGTGATCTGACATGATCGTTTCTTCAGGTGTTTTGCCGTCAATCCCTCCGAGAGGCCGACGTCAAGAGATCTGATCATGACGAGTGTGAGTATGAGTGCTTGTTGCTGGGCATTGCATCTTGCCTTGTCATGTCTCATGAAATCTCAACGCCTCTTCTTACACTTCTTCAGGATTGCCTCGCTAAGTCTCTGGAGCTTCGTGTCCCTCTACCGGACTCTTCCCGTGTCGTTTATCTTCCTCGTGACCCTCAGACCTCCCGCGCCTCTCGTCCTGCCTCCGCTCCTCTCCTTCGCGGAAAACTCAAGCCTCCCCTCCCCTCGTCCTCTGCGCTCGTTCTAAATCCTCGTCGTCCTCCTGCTGCTCCTGCTGCTCCTCTCACGTCTGCCGCTGCTGCTGTAGACGTCGAATCGTCTTCCTCCGACAACTTGAGTGAAATCTCCAACATCTCGCCGATCCGAGTAGCAGATGGAGAAGTTGCGAGACACTTTATAGCAGAGGAAGATGACAAGAAGGAGCAGGAGGGCGTGAAGTCGCCTTTCTCAGGTGTGGGTCTCTTCTTTCAGGAATGTTACTGAACTGATGTTCTCTTCCTTTGCCTCACAGAAGCAGATGAACTCGAGGAGAACGACAGAAATTCGCGTAAGAATCTTGTTTAGACTTCAATACCAAGTATGTTGACAAAAATAGCAGGTCATGAACAGCTAGTGCAAGTGACAGGCATTTCGGTAAAAGTAAGAAATGACCTGAATATCTTCACATATGAGGTGATGCCTCCAAAACTTTTCCGGAATAAGATGACAATAGAACGGTTCGCCAATAAATGGAGGCGGAAATAATGGATCCAATGTTCAGATGAAGCAGAGAGAGTAAGATGAAAAATATTTCATGATTCTGATGGTTTTGATCCTGAGATGAACAGGAAAGCGGTGATAGAGAATGAAAGAAGGCTAATCCAAACCATCAAGGTCCCTTACACAATCCTTGCACTTCTTCCTGTTCTCCTCTATCTATCCATTGCAAATGTTTTGGTGTCCTTCTCGTCTCGAAGCACCAAGTAAGGTATTTTCGGTGCTGATCGGTTTCATTCAGAAAATCATAGAGAAAGCAGAAGCACGTGGAAAGAGGACGACATTGCAAACTCTGGAGAACATCTACCTGTCGCAGGTGCTGCAAGAGGCGACGTCGAGAGCTTGACACCGTGTTTTCAGGTCGGCATTCCTCTCTCTAAGAGTTTGAAGGGAGTAGGGAGATTCGATCATTCAGAGAGTCTGAGGTAAGTCATATTACACCTTGAATTGACAGTCATCATGCCCTTGCAGAGATTTTGTGGCCAAACAGTCCCAGCATTTCATACTTGATGATGATGATTCAGTGAGCTTGAAAACTTCGATGAGTATCCGCACAGGTGAATTTTGAACGAGTTGCAATCTAGATGACTGATAAGATAATCGTGATGATTGTAACTTGAGTTTAGTGGTGAAACGAATCATCAGTTGTGACAGGACATGATTTGATATGATATCATACGATGTGATACGGTACACTGTGATGTGATATGATAGGATCTGTTTTGATACTATCTTGTATGACCCGTTATGAGATGATGAGAGCCGACATGAGATATTCGTATGATATCTATCGCATGACATTATGTAATGTTGTGTATGACTCAACGTGAAATGATATGCTAATGAATGTGCTTATAGTTGCTCATGGTTTCCTTGTTGCAGGAGAGAGCCGCGCAGCAGCTAGCAGCAGGATCTTATCATCCATGATGAAATAACCAGATAATTTGTGTGTATATCGGTAACTCCAGGAAGACGAAGGAAAGAAGAGGTCGCACGACTACGATAACTGGTTGCGATACGCTTGTAGAATACAAAGTGTTTTGAAAGATGAAAATTTTATTCACCTCGAACATTTCTGATCAATCATTACACATGTTTATTCATACAGTACAAGCTGAGCAGGAAATCTAATTTTACACCAGAATAATACTGCTCCTTCAGGCGACTTGCCGAATCATCACTAACCCTCTCCTCCCCTTCATCCTCTCCAACTTCACGCTCACTTCAACGATTAGGATCTTTCAACTTGGGGATGACAACTGAAGGCGACCTGCCATGGCTGTCACGGTTTTTCTTCCTGTCTTAACACAACATACCCAGCAGTCATGCTCCTTCTCCAAGAGCTTAAGAGCTCCTTGTAGTTCTCCGCATTTCCTCCTTCAACCTCTTCATCTTGTTTCTTCTACAACAACACATGTCAATCATCAAATTAAAATTTCTTACATGTTCTCACCTCTTCTTTCTTCACGTTCATTCGGTGATGTTTCACTGACTTTCTTCGACTCATCATGTGTGGAAGAATATTCACATCTCGACAAGGATCTCGCTCGCTCTTTTCCGTCCCTGGCAAGCAAGACACAAATCAGTTAGTCACCCGATATCATAATATCCTCCCCCTCCTCCTCTTCTTGATCATCTTTATCACCACCACCACCACTAACTATCATCATCATCATCATCAAGAACAACAACAATAATCGAACAATGGGACAGCAACAAGATGCTGACAAACACAAGAACGGCTCCATGATCGTACTCTTAACAGCTATGTAATCATCAAACCATCAACATCTGAGCCAAATCTTTCTCCGTCTCTTGTTCCTCCTCCAACAACGTGATAACATGAAGGAGGAGGAATAAGAAGTGGCAGCGGAGGTAGCACTGGAAGAAAAGCAGGAGCATTCGTCACCTTTTTCTGTCTGATCCTCACTAGTCTTGTGCTGGTCACTGTGGAACCCAAAGACAAGGTTGCTCGGGTCGTTGATGGAATACATTCTGTGCGCCATGCTCATGTACAATCGCTTCCATTGGCAGTCTTGACAGTATTCGTCTCCGCCCCCCTATCACCTCGTAAGACAATGAGAGAAGAAAGCGTCTAATTTTGACCTTGCACTCATTCTCTTTGTCAGACACCAGGTCATTGTTGCAATCGCTTTGGTTCTCCTTCTTCTGCAGCTGCTTACATCTCTCGCTTTCCACCATCAAGTTCAATACCTCTTCATCTGCGTGATCCTCTGCCGCTATCGCCATCTCGTTGCTCGCAGGCTGCTCGGGGCTCAAACGCTCGTTTGCTTGACTTTGTTTGCATCTCACTCACTCTTACGTCATCAAACAGCATCTGACGTACCTCACTGTGTGTGCCAGAGCTGCCAGATCGTTCAGACTGGCCCTCCCTTGCTCCACTTTGACATCCTGTTCCACAATTCGACATGCGCGAATCAAGAAGGCCCATGAAGCAGGAAAGGAAGAGGAGGAAGAAGAAGATAAGAAAGACGGGATCAGCCGGTAAGGATTTTCAACAAGTGCACACCTTGACATCTGCCGTTCGCTTTTCTTTCGCAACACTCACTTGATCATTTAGATCCAAGCTCGCAGCGGTCTAAGGGCAATTCAATCCTCATCTCCCTGGCAAAGCAAGCACTTCACCTTAAACTCGTCTGCCTTATCTTTACAGGCATTCTTGAACCAGTCCTTGAACTTCTCCACTACGGCACGGAACTTCGGTGTTGAGAAATCGTAGATGTTTCCCGTCTCTGAGGTAACGACAAGCAAAACTTGTGCCCCCGTCAGCATGCTCAGCTCATTTGCCTGGTTGACACGATCGTCATTTTCGTCATCACCTCGACTATCATCATTATCATCATCATTATCATTATCATCATCATCATCATCATCATCATCTCCATATTCTACATAACGAGAACAGGAAGGTCACGACCTTCTTGATGATTCCTGTCTTTCGTTTTGAGAACGTGATGTGCCGTTTGCTTTTGTCTTCAACAAACTGGATCGTGATTTTCCGTCGTCCTCCAGTCTTCTTCCCTCCTGCCTCGTCATCGTCGCTATCTTCGTCTGTCAGGGCTGAATCCACGTGTGTTGTTTCAGATTTCGAGCTGAATGGATCAAAGGAATTGGATGCCGCAGGTTTTTGAGGGAGGACTGCAGGATTGCTCGCGAGGAGAAGCTTGTCTACAATCGCAGGTTTTACGTTGTTTGTCAGCAAGTCTGCTTCTGTCTTCTGCCGCTTGTCCAACGGTTGAAACTCTTTCAAGCCTCTCTTGTATGCGGCTGCCTTTTTCATGTTGATCTGCAAAGTCACAGGTCACAGGCTAGCAAAAGTGAGAGGAGGATCGAAGATAAGGAGCAGTAGTTGGGGTTTAGTTAACTGTTCGTGATGACTATAGATGTGATGATGATGGTGGAAGGAGGTGATGATGGTGCTGATGGTAATGCTTGAAAGAAAATCAAGACGGTGTGAAAACGTCAATGTGCAGCTGATTAGCTCCAATTCTTGCCTGGCAGGAAGAAGAGACGATGATTTAAGATCAAGATGAGCAAGACGAGAAAGAAGACAAGCAAGATGACAAGGAACTGGTAAAGTTGAAGATAGTGGAGATGATGGAGATTGAGCTGAATGCGGTTGAGGTTGAAAGGATGGACACACTGATAAAGACGAGAAGGAAATGAGGGAAACAGAAGAATCGAACACGATAACAAGAAGAACAAGAAAGACAATCGTCGTGATGAGTTGGATGACACGAATACACAGACATGCGAGAGGAGGTGGAACAGGACGAGAGAGCAAACGAGGAGCAGAGCAGGAGGAGCAGGGAGAGGAGGTGGTTCAGAGGCAGAAACATCAATATTAGTAGGATCGGGAGGAGAAGGAGGAGAAGGAGGAGCAGGAGGAGAAGGAGGAGAAGGAGGAGAAGGAGGAGCAGGAGCAGGAGGAGGAGGAGCAGGAGGAGGAGGAGGAGGAGGAGGAGCAGGAGGAGCAGGAGCAGGAGGAGGAGCAGGAGGAGGAGGAGGAGCAGGAGGAGGAGGAGGAGCAGGAGGAGCAGTAGCACTAGTACTACTCGCTGTTCGCGTTTCCTTGCTACTTCAATTCCGCCATTACCGGCAACCTTGAAGGCACCCCCACCTCCCCTGACCCGTTCGTCAAGAAGTACCCCTCTTTTGATGTACCCACCCCTTGAATAAACTCCAATTTCATCTGAGATTCGACCACAAACATCCCTCGATGTACTACCCCTACCCCACATGAGTTTTCTGACCCCATCTTTTCCATATCGGACCCCTGGAAGACCGGCTGTGGGAAACACTTTCCCGATGTTCGGATGCACAGAGAGGAGGGGAGAGACGAGCGGTAGCGGAGAGGGAGGAAGGAGAGAGAACGGGAGACAAGACGGGAGGATGTGAAGAGGAGAGGTCAGCAGTGAAGCGAAGACGAGGTGAGAGGAATGGAGGGAGGCAGGGTTGTAGTAGAGACGAGGGGACGCGAGAAGGAAAGTGACCTACGAAGACCGAATCACGTTCCTTTGCTTTTTGCCGTCTGATGATCTCCAATCACGATCAGGATGTAAGTTTTCGAGCGTCGACAACATGAACAGAAACTGTGTGCTTGTTGTCTCCGCAATCTCATGGAGCTCAATCACTCTGCTGGGACCTCGCGCGTCTGTAAAGTTCCACTCGTTCACCAACGAGAATGGGGAAGAGGAGGCCGACGCAAGGATGATCGCAGATGGTTTCTCACTCGTACAAGTCTTGAACATTCGTCATCCCGTGGGCTCCTTGATCAGAGAGACAACTTGCGGTCAGCAGGTGAAGACACTGAGAGGTTTCGTGACCGTGATGCTCAGCTATGCAGGAGGAGGCAGGTACGGGCAGCTCCCTCCTCGTCAGCCTTCTCGGTCCTCTCATTCGACGGTGGGGAGGGAGCGGATGGAAGATGAGAGTTGGTCCTGATGTTGCTGCCGCAGGTTTTACGATCTTGTTGACGGAGGGTTTGATCGCGTGCGCGTCATGGTGGGGCTTCGCAAGGTCTTGGATGTTGTGGACAGCTTCTTGCAGTCGTCGTCGGTTGCCGTCAGCCAGGTGCTGAGGGAGAGAGCTAGGCAACGGGGGATCGAAGACAAGAAGCTCGTGAGCTCGGGCAGCCAGGGGGATGATGACTTTTCCTGGTTCGACGAGCTGGAGCTTGATCAAGGTGGTAGAGTCACAGGAGTGAGGGAGAGTTCGTGACGTTCTGCCTCCGATGCTCCAGAGTGCGATGAAAGTGCCGGTCCGGTCAGAGGCGATGCCTCCGATGCAGGTGACTGGTTGACACGACAAAGAACAACCAAGTGTTATGTGCAGTGCCGCAGGAAAACTGGAGGAAGGCTGCCGCATGGCGTTTCGAGAGTTTGTCGGAGCAGTGTCCCATGAAAGCCAGGAAGCTACTCGACTGGTGACGGCAAGTGTGAGTTTTCCTTCTCTAGTGTCTCTTCTAGTCTCCTCTTGGTACGGCTCTTCGCTTTGCTTACTGAACAAACTTTCAGCTGATCCAACTCGGCCGCCATGTCCGTTCCGATTCTCTAAAGACCCACATCATTCCTGGCCTTAACCCGAAGGTCAAGACAGTTTGATATCACTCACTCGAGCATGTTAAATGTCGCGCAGCGATCTCAAACATTTCCCGGCATTGTTGTCTCATCGCCGGAGCATCATGTGAGAGTTTTCTCTAACGCGTCATTCCCTCTCACTGCATCATCAGGATCACCTTCATGCGAGAATGCGAAAGTTTGGAGGGACGAGAACAAACTCCTGGCGAAGCGAAGAGCGGTGGAGCTCGATGGCCCATGAAGGAGCTGGAGAGGAGGGAGCCGTCGGATGGTTTCTCAACTTTCAAAGAGTCAGAGTTGCAGTGATGGCCGAGGGTTTCTTGTATCGGAGCAACTTCGTGGAGGAGGGGGGGGGCAAGGAAACAACTCTGGTGTACAGCAGAGTCGAAGAATTCATGGAGAGGGAGAGGACGGACATGCTGGAGGACCGGATCGTAACGTTCGCGTTGAGGTGTAAGGAATTTGACTTGGCCTGTCTGCTGCTGCGGGATCGGCCGAGCGCGAAATTCATCAGTATACTAGAGATGAAGGACGTGATGGTTGTGTGGGGGATTACGCTGAAAGAAAGTCTGCAGCTCTGTCAGATGCTGGAGGTGTCCCAGGTACCATCAGCTGCTGACTTTGATGAGGGACATGTCGGGAGGAGGAGAGTGGCGATTGGGATGTTGAGCAGAGCATTTGAGGAGAAGAAGTTGTTCACTCATTTGAACTACACGCCCCCGAGCATGTCAGCTGTAGCAATTGCTCTGTTGCAGAATGAGGAGGAGGGGGAGGAGGAGAGGGAGGAGGAGGCAGCGGATAGCTTGAGGAGCTCACATTCCACCTTCGAGCCCCCGATCATAGAGGAAGTGAGCTTGTTTGGATGGGGAGGAGGAGGACGGACTTGCTGGAGTACTATTGTCTGCTGCGGTCTATCATCAGGGGAAACTCTCCTCCTACAGGTTTGTCGTTCAGGGGAAGGTGTCACAACTGACCAACAACGGCAGGAGCAGGTGAGGAAATGTTTCCGAAGGGTCTTGAGCTTGTCGAGGACGGGAGTTGTGCTGCCAGGAGGAGGATCGACAATATTAGCCCTTGGAAATCTGCTACAAGGTGAAGACTCCGAACGTGTAATAATGGTGAGGTCACGGAGTTGTAGAGATTTCTTCCGATCAAGCTCAAGATTTCGAGTTTGCAGAGGTAGCAAGGTGTGTGTCGACAGCGCTCAAGGTGGTCTGTCGTCTGTTCAGAAATTCATCTCATTGCAAGATGGTATCTGGCAGGAGGTACTTCATGCGGTCATGATCAGCAATGGGATGGGTGAGGATGAAGCGGCTCTGAGGGTGTCAGCCTTCTCGATTGAGGTATCCACGCTGCAAGATGTACAGGCCCGAGTCAGACAGCACGGAGATTCACTCAGGAGGAAAGTTGGAGACGAGATCTTCTGGAGAGATCAGGTCCCGCTCCAGCTCGCTTCCGACGTCACAGGTGACTTTGATGTCTCACTTCGATGCCGACCGTTTCTCCCACTCCGTAGATGTCGGTTTCTAAACTTATGTAAGTTTCTTCAGGGGATAGCAAGGCACAAGACACGTCTCGGCCGAGATTCATCTTTGATGACTTCATAGCAACTCGAGCAGCTCTTAGACGATCTTTGGAGTTCTGCATCCTACTTCTCTCATCATCGCAGATCTGGTATCCTGCCGAGTGACTTCGACAAGTATGATGGTGGTCCATCTCCGCCGAGACTCGCCATTGAACTATTTTTCTATGTTGTACTTTTCTATGTTCATGTTCATGTAAAGTCAATAGCATCATGGCGTTGAGAACTAGAAAAAAGTCTTCAAGTTCTCGAAATGATTGGGAGTAAGGTAACAATGTTTTTTGATGCATAACAATCGAAAATGGCGAGAGAAAATGTGATTTGTCTTCTCGACATGGTTTCGGACAGTGAGAAAGCATCGCTCTGTTGGACAACGAGTGGCGTTTTGGATATGAGCGGCATTTTGAAAATAACGCAGACAGGAAGTGAGACTCGATTTTGCTTCTCCTCACAAGACAAGTATCCAAAGTTCTTATAGATTGTTCACCATACTGCACTTGCTCTGCTCTTCCTTGCTCTTCTTTACCCTTGCTGCTGCTTGCCCTCCGCCCCCCTACGGTCTCGATCCTCAGTCTGACATACATCTCACCCTGGTAATCTCCTTCTATCCGTATGGGCGATTGGCAGCTCTTTGTCGTCCTCCCGATATCTGACAAGTTTTTTTCATCGTCGAGTCGAGGACACGTCGTCTCACCTCTTTGATCTTCAAGGATGGTGGAAGGGAAAGTTTCAACTTGCTTGCCTGTCACTCACATCACTGGCCTCCACCCCGACATGCTCGTCTCAACGTCACCTTGTTGCTGTCCGCCACCACGTACGTGTAACGAAACCTGCTACATCGAACTTTGAACTTTGTTGGTCCAGCACGTCTGTCAAAGCATGTTCCATGAGGGCTGGAGGTGTATCAACAACTTCTCCCGCTCACCCTCCTCTTGGCTTCTTAATGGTCACCAGCCGCGCATCCTTTCTTCGCGTGATTGTCAAGAAATCCTGGCAAGCACATCAGAACAAGAATAAAGCGCATCAGAACAAGAATAAAGTGGATGATACAACGCATGTCCTCACCTTGATCTCATAGATCTGAAGCGATCCTCCTCCCCTCAGTCGAAGAGGCTCACCAGCAATCGCCTGCGCCCTGGTGCACAGCTTATTGCGCTTTTCAGCCTCGCCTGCACGTTCGTGTTACATGAAGGCTGTCTTTACGACAACAAAGACAAGCACACCGCAGAAGCTTCCTGTCTTCATCCCGTAACAAAATCTTGCAATCAATAAATCTAAGAGCAACACCGAGAGGATTTTGACTGCAAACAAATTAATCATTGGTCCATGCAGATCAAATCGAACGTCGGCAAAGGAAAAACTACCAATCAGTACAAGGTTGTGAATACACTAAAGCTACAAACAGAATAAAAACCCAGCGGATCAGGTACCTGAAAAGTTCCCCATTCTGAAACGCTTATTGCTGATCGCAGGACAAATTTGCACTAAATGACGAGGTCTTGGGTTTCACATTCAGCAGAGCAGTCCCTGAATAGAGAATCAGAGCAGTCACCAGACATGTAAAAACCAATGTTCAGACTCGTTTATCCGATTGTCGGAACAACATACATCAGAAATGTACGAGCAGCAACACATGATGAATTCATGTACATGAACGAATTGACACTTGAACTTACAACAACAGACACAATACCGAGTTTTCAACAGAACGGAATAGAGGCAAGGGGAAGGAGTGGATCGGAAGAGGGGCCGACATGAGGTATTCTGATTCACAGCACAGCAGAATGATGATGTGGGAATTGTTGATAAGGTAGAGGAGAAGAGAGTGTTAGGCCGGTGCAGGGGAGAGAAAGCATGGAGAATGGGGAAGCAAGAGCAGTAGAGAGGAGGGAGGAGGAGGGGCCGGCCGCCATGTTTCTGTTCCCTCCCTCATTGTGCGACACCGCCGGCCTCATTGTCTCTCTCCACTGCCACCCTACCTATCTTGCATCTAGCTCATTGTACCCACCAATTACAGGTGACAGCAGAAAAGAACCCCTCAAATGCACATTGAATTCTGGTCCCGACCACCCCTTTATTATCACCCTCCACCCCACCCCTTTCGTCCATTTCGTTCGTAAAGAATACTACCCTCATTTTGACTCTGCACTACCCCACCATTCCCCCATTACAATTCTATATCAATCAAATTTCTGGCTAGTTACCCAAGGCGAGCACCGAACAAGGTGCTTCTGACTGCCGTGTTAGTATAGTGGTCAGTATCCCCGCCTGTCACGCGGGAGACCTGGGTTCAATTCCCAGACGCGGCGACCCCTCGGGTGGTCCTTTCCGAAATAGGAAAGACTTTGTTTTTGCATCTCCGCACAAGGGGCTCTTGTTTTTTGACTCCAGCACTCACTGGCAGTGATCGGACATATCCGAGTCGGTGTACAAAGTGAATGAAGCGAGTACTTTGAATGAAGCGAGTACAAAGTGAATGAAGCGAGTCACTATTGTCGGATAATACAGTCATGAAGTGAGTACGAAGTGAGTACATAAGTATTCAGAACATGCACTGCAGGGGCCTTGGCTGGTACCCTGCCATCATGGAATGTAATTGTGGTTCGGAATATTGTTCAGGCACCAAACAGATTGCAATAAAGTGAAGGAAAAGTATATACTCGAGAACGTACTTCGAATCCTACTTTAGATCCCAAATTCAGCAGAAGTCAAAGCTACGACCAGGTGCAAGCATTGCTCGAATAAGGTTCAAACGACCACTACTATCATCTTGATTATTTTTGCACAACAACGGTTGTAGGAACAACCATTCGCTTGTCGCACGGACAACAAGCAACGAGGACACCAAGAGGGCCGACACAAAAAACGCAGAGAATGCCAGCTGCCCAAGTTACTGGGCCGCAATAATGCTCTTCTACCACAACTTGTTGTGACATGTGGTTCGAATACCCTGGTTGCGCCATCGGGACCTGTGGCTTAAGGTGAGGATGAACACAAAGCATGCTTCTGCAGATTTCAAGGAGATCTGACATCGGGAGATGGTTGTGACGACATTTTCGTTGAAGACTGCGACTGGAAAATGAAATTAGGTCACCAACAACCTTCGCATCGTTCTTGCAACTTGTAAGTCGAAACAAAATCGAAATGTTTCGAAGCCAATGATACATATAAATCAGGCTCTTTGGCTCACAGACTCTCACCACTGCTCAAGTTTGTTCAAGTTCGTTTCGCTTGGATTCTTCTCTTCTAGTGTTGCATGCTACACGATTCTTCTTTTTCCTTCCAGGCACTCTCATGTCATCTTGCATCTCATCCTTCGCAGGGGACAGTAAAGTACCCCATACAAATGAGGAAGGCATGAAATGAGTTTTGAACCCCTACCCCCTAGGATAAGTTACCTTTCTTACTCCTCTTCTCACGTCCCCACCCCTGTATTGCGCCGTCATTTTCGTGATTTCGCTGTCGGAGCGTGTGTGTGTGTGTGTGTTTGGGTGGGTAGGTGGGTGGGGTACCATGAAACTCACATGCATGTGCTGATGGATGATACCTATCTCATTATTTCCTATGAGAAACATTAGAACATGCGAGCACTACAAGGGACTCCTACAGACCGGGGAGAGGGGACAGCAAATTTAGAGGGAAGAGGCAACATGTGAAGTTAACACTTTGACTAGCCGCTATGTGAGGCATGCAGTTGGCAACTGATGTACCATCATATGATGCATGTGGTTGAATCCCGAGGAAACTTGTACAATGGGAGAACTCGACACGAGAAGGACCAGAATGCCACCGGGAGATCTTCGTTGAGTCAGACAGAAGACAGAACAGAACGTACAAAGGCAAAGTGGACGAATGTACTTTGCCTGCACTGACTATGTTTCAAGCTTATACTTCGCCTACACATGAGCACGCTGACGAAGGGACAGTACAGTTACGAAGCACCATGGCAACTGTGATGAAGCGATAGTGCAGCTCAGTCCTGAAGCAAGAGAGACAGCAGAGTCATGAAGCCAGTACGAAGTGCACCAATGGAAAGACAATACAGTCATGAAGTGCATACATACGTGATCTGATGAATTATTTGCTTTCTTGTGCAAGGAGGACTGAAAGACCATGCAAGCTCAATACTTTATTAGTGTTGTATACACAACACAGACTGGGAGGTAAACTACGCACAACCACCACACTCACTGTGCATGCGAGTGGGGGTAATTCAGGAGGCCGTCCGCACGAGAATGCGTCCGCCTATATAGGGAATATCCGGCAGAGTATCCGACGAGTATCCGTGGTTCCGGATCCTCATGGATACAACAATTAGATCCCATAGCTCTGTACATTTGAGCTTCAAACTGAAAGCTTCGCATGAATCATGAACGTTCCGCACACAATTATCAGAGCTCTGCGGAGATGAGCTCAAGCCTTCGCAGGAAGGCATATTATTGAGCACGAGTGTGTGAGCAACAAGAGTTGCGGTGGTGATATCTTCTTCTTTCGCAGCCAAAAAAGACAACGAAGGCTCTAACGGCTTCAGACAAGCACAAACCTACTGTTGGGCACCGGTTGGCTGAACCTCAAGGTCAGGAGCATGCAACAGATCTATACCTCTACACCCGTGGTGGTTCCCGTCGATATGAAAGGATGGTCTACAGCTCCCTTGAGTTGGTTTTGTCTTTCCCTTTTCTTGTGTCACGAACCGATATTGTGTTATTGTTGCTTCCCAAAAAGAATTCATATATCTTCTCTTCACCCTTCTCTGTGATCCAGCGAAGGAGCTTTGAGCATTCGTTATATGCTTATTCATCTTGAGAAATTTCAATGCGTAGGAAGAAATTTTAGTGTGATTGCACAAAGCTAATTCTAATAACAACCCAGAAAGCTTAAAACCCTTCGTACCTCAAATATGTCGGATCACCCTCCATTGCCAGAAAGAAAAATTTAATGGTACATAAATAATCAGCAGTAAGCTTCAAGGTGCACGCATTGCTCGAATAAGGCACACACACAGAAAAATATCACTGTATTCTTGATCATCCTTGCACAACAACCGTTCGTCTGTCGCACGGACAACAAGCAACGAGGACACCAAGAGGGCCGATACAAAAAACACACAGCAAGCCAGCTGCACAAGTTACTGGGCCGCAGTATTCTTCTTCTATCACAACTTGTTGTGACATGTGGTTCGAATACACAGGTTGCGCCATCGGGACCTGTGGCTTAAAGTGAGGATGAACAAAGCATGTTTCTGCAGATTTGAAACAAGATTGATAACAAAGAGTCCTTACGTAAGGATCAGGTCCACCCATAGGATGAGCCATGGGGACATGCGGATTATACGCTGGAGGGGGCGGTTGTGGCGACATTTTCGGAGAAACTTCGACTGGAAAATGAAATAAGGTCATACCAATTTGGAGTTTACGCCATCTTGGACGCAGATATCAAGTCAAACTGAATGGTATCATCTCAAACACGTCTCTGCAAATGCCCAGACTGAAACCCCCCCATGCTCTTCCTCCAACAACCTTCACATCGTTCGATGACTCTTCCTATATCTCTACGTCCCTCCGAGCTAAATCAAAGTATTATAAAAATTGGATTGCGCACGCACTTGCAACTTGTAAGTCGAAACAAAATCAAAGTGATTCGAAGCCAATTATAGAGAAAGATCAGGCTCTTTGGCTCACAGACTCTCACCACTGCTCAAGTTTGTTCAAGTTCGTTTCGCTTGGATTCTTCCCTTCTAGTGTTGCATGCTACACGATTCTTCTTTTTCCTTCCAGGTGCTCTCATGTCATCGTGCATCTCATCCTTTGCCCCCCCTTCCCATGCACTCCAGTACTGTTTCTGTGGTGCTACCCGTACCCCCTGGGGATCGACGACTTCGGCAGTACCCCCACCCCTAAGGGGCAGGTAAAGTACCCCATACAAATGAGGAAGGCATGAAATGAGTTTTGAACCCCTACCCCCTAGGATAAGTTATCACCCACCCTCACCCCAGCCTTCCCCTTTTCTTGTCCCCTTGTAACGTCCCCACCCCCTATATGGTGCCCTCATGTGATTACGGACCCGTAGTTTTGGTGGACAGTAGTGGTATAAAGACTGAAGGATCATCTTTTGGTGGGTGGGGTACCATGAAACTCACATGCATGTGCTGATGGATGATACCTATCTCATTATTTCCTATGAGAAACATTAGAACATGCGAGCCCTACAAGAGGCTCCTACAGACTGAGGAGAGGGGACAGCAAATTTGGAGTGCTCAAGAAGGGTGGGGTACTCAAGAAGGGTGGTTCTTTCTGGAACTTACAAATTATTACTGTTTTTAAACTATAAAACTTATGATTTTATATGTGTTTGAAAATGAAAAGCCACGCCTCCCAACCAGCTTGACTAATCGTTTCAAACCGTTACATCATCTATCAACCCCCCCGGCAATGGCAAGATGAAATCGGGTTGTAGCAGGACGCTGTGCTCCGCCTCGCTCTTACTGCTCGTACATGCGCAGCCCTTGCTCTCCCAGACTGACGTCAAGTCAAAAGCTCTGGCCCAAGTTTTCTCGGTAGGTAGCAACTCACATGGAGAGCTGGGCTTGGGGACTTATCAGCCGACAACTGTCCCAGTAGCATGCCCCAAGGGTCCATTCAATGCCGTCAGAGCATTTGCTGCTGGGTATCGAAGTGCTGCGCTCACGTCTGAAGGAAAAGTATACTTCTGGGGATCTAGCTGGCTGCACGATCTAACTGTTCCAGGCGATGGTTCGTACAATTCGTATCATGCAAGTGCAGCAACGACGATCGATGTACCCAATCCGACCTTGCTGTCTTCTATGTATTCAAATGTCATTGCCCATGTAGCTGCTGGGTCAAATCACCTGCTTGTGAGCACAGACCGGGGCATCATCTTCGCGCAAGGGGAAAATCGATTCGGGCAACTTGGCACTGGTGACATTGAGAACCGAGATGGTTTTGAACAGATCGCTGATTTCTCAGACTCGCTTGTGGTAGATTTGCAGACAAGCCTGCAAAACTCTGCTGCAGTGCTAGGGAATGGCAAACTTTACATGTGGGGTGAGAATACGTACGGTCAGATGGGTTTGGATTCGGAGGAACTGGGCTCTGCTTCGAGGGGGGTCTTTAGAGTACCGACTTTTATCAAGACCCTTGAGAAGCATTTCATCGTTGCTGTTTCCCTCGGCACACAGTTCATAGTTGTCTTAGATGCTCATGGAAATGTCTTTGCTCAGGGACGAAACGATTTTGGGCAGCTGGGGCTTGGACACTACGACCCTGTTCCTTCACCTACTCTGGTCAGCCAAGTCCCTAATGTTGTTGCAATCGCATGTGGCCTGCATCATACCGTACTGTTGAACATCTCAGGTGATGTCTTTGTCACGGGATCAAACTCTGCTGGACAACTCGGCCTTGGCGATCAGAAGCAGAGAAATACCTTCACACATGTGCAGTTTGAACCGCAGGTGGTCTGTGACACGACAGACTCGTCCATGCTGCAAGGCGAGACTGCATAACAATAGTCAATTGTGTGTAATGATGATGACAGATAGCATTCGTGAGTATGTTTGCCTCGGATCGCGCTATCCTCTTCCGACAACAAGGGTCCAGCACATCTCAGCCGGCAGCCACCACACCATCGCAATCACCGACGATGGGAACGGTAATGTGCTCACTCATCACGGCCTTCCTTGACAACCTCTCAGTCTGGTCTTTCGGGTTGAACTCCAACGACCAGCTGGGCCTCGGGCATGCGGCGAAGGTCGACTTCGTAACAACCCCTCAGCTGGTGCTCAATCTGTACGCGGCGAACGCGACATGGAGCGCAGGAGGAGATTCTCACTCGGTGGTGAGGAGTGACTTCCAGGTGATAGAGTGTTGTGATGTGAGGGGAGTTGCATGCAGATTGATGGAGTGTTGTCAACGCAGAATCTCACAATCTATGAAGTCTCACCGAGGATGCTGTATGCTTCTAGCATGCAATCAGTCCAGTTGTGGTTGTATGGAATCGGATTCAACAACTTGCGCCACCATCAGTTCTTCTGCATCTTGAGAAAAAACGCATCAGCCAATCAGGATGTAAACATATCGCTGCAGGGAGAAGTCTTCTCGAACTTTCGGGCCAGCTGCCTCTTCTCTCACAATGATATGGCCAAGTTCAGCTCGAGCCCAGCAGCACTTGAGATGGCAGTGGGAGGATATACACTCTCAGTTCTCGTGCGGGGAGCGCCTGCTGCCCCGGCCTCGAGCACATTTCCTCCACCTTTCCTCTCGGAGACGTCAGACTTCCTTGCGGTCCCCATGACGAGCAAGACCTATTATATCGTGAGCGATTGTACTTCCAACTGCTCCAGGGTGAGTCTTGGCGAGAGAGGCTTGCTGATCTTACGCGAGCAACGCAGTACTGTGGCTCCTTGTCCTCTTCCTGCCTTCCCGGGATCGTCTCCTCCATCCCTCAAAGTGGCAGTGTGGAGGGAGGAACGACAGTCACCGTGATAGGGTTTGGCTTCCACAAAGAATTTGCAGACGATGTTCGATGCCGGTTCGGAGATGCAGGACAAGAAAGCTCGACGTGGAGCAAAGGGATAATCCTCAACGACACCCATGTGAAGCCTCTCAACTCTGTTCGATGTCGGTGTCAATGCTTGACAAGCTCGATCGGCAGTTGATATGCTCCTCTGTCTTCGTTCCTGGGGCGCAGGACAAGGCGAACAGCAGGTTGCGAGCTCATCACGTCATTTGTAGAGATTTGACTAGCATGATAGGCCCTTCACTGTCTTCCTCCGCGTCTCTCTCAACGGACAGGTACGTGCGTTTCCTTTCGACTTCCATGACTCCCGTGTAGACGTACTCCTCCACCTTCGCTCCATTCCTTGTCTACCCCAACCCCGTCCTCCTTTACTCCAGCATTCCCTTTGAACTTGCGGTTGATCCCGCATACACTCGCAACGAGAAAACTTCCTACGGTGGGCCCGAGGGAGGAGGAACGACGGTGAAGGAGGAGAGTTACAGCGAGCTTCAGCCTCTCACCTCATATCAGGTCGAGGTCTATGGCAGCTTGATGCAAGCTGCAATGCTCAAGGAAGCTGTTTGCCGCTTCCTCAACGTCTCTGTCCCCGCTGCCTACGTCGCTTCGGATCGCGTGCGTTGTACATCTCCCCCCTGGTCCAGCGTCTCGGGTCAGGTCCTCAACAAGAGTCGCACCATCCCGCTGCAGGTTCGGCTCAACGGGCAAGATGACGCCAGGAACTCTGTCTCCTTTACCTACTACGTCAACCCCAAAGTTGAGCAGATCTATCCCAAGAAAGTTCCTCTGCTCCAGTCGGCGTCGCTCCTCCTCCGCGGTCGCGGCTTCCTCAACTTCCAGTGGTACCCAAGGTACTTGTGCTTGTGACTGATATGTGGAAGGAGCTGAAGGAGGGGGCAGGTGTCAGGTAGGAGCGCTGAGCAGCATAGCAGCGGTGATCTCCGACGAGGAGGTCGTCTGTTTCTCTGGTGTGGTGAAGGAGGCCAGCGCCGCAATGGTCAAGTTTTACCCCAACGCGCAAGATGAGAGCAGCGAGTCCTCGTCGCTCAAGGATCAACAGAACCAGTCCTGCGCAATGGCATCGCACAATGCAAGTTTCTCCTCTACCTCCTCCTCTTCCTCATCGTCCCTCTCCTGCATCTTCATCGAGTACTTCCCCCCCAACGAGATCTCCTATCTCAGTGCGACGAGCGGGCCTCTGGTCGGAGGAACGACCATCACGATCTTCGGAGCAGATTTCGAGTCTACCAAGGAGGTGCCGTCGGTTCGATTCCGATGCCTGGAAGCGAGCTCGCAGTTGCTCAACTCTTCTAACGTCTTGAGCCACTTCTATGGAGATGTAGTCTACAAGACTTGGTTCTACAGCGACAGAGTCGTTCCTGCTCAAGTCACGTCCGACTCCCAACTCCTCTGCTCCTCTCCGGCCATGGTTTGCCCGGGTCTTTCGTCTGTCAGTTACGCAGCTAACGGTCAAGACTTCGTCGACAACGTTGGAGGCTGGAATACGACGTTCTCAGCTGCTTTCCTCTTCTACCCTCTTCCTCTCCCTCTCCACCTGATGCCCCAGGCCGGTCCTGTCGCCGGCAACACGTCAATCACCATCTCCGGTATTTGCGAAGGAAATTATCGAGATGATGCAGACGACGATGATATTGTTGTTATTGTTGTTATTGTTGATATTGTTATTGCTGTTATTGATGATAATGATGATGATGATGATGATGATGAAAGAGAAGAAGAAATAAGATGATTGTTCAACGACAGCAACAATGATTGTGATCAGATTGTTGCAGGAAGTTCGTTTTTCTCTCAATCCCGTCAGACTTTCTGTCGTTTTGCACCAGCAAATATGCAGCCAACAGCTATTGTCAACGTCAACAATTTGTCATCGATTGCATGGCAGACAAGCGTGCAAGGAACTGTTATCAATGAAACAACGCTAACCTGTCGCACTCCACAGGTAGTGATTTCAGTTATGAACGATTATGATGAAGACGATTATGATGAAGACGATTATGATGATGATGACGACGACAACAATGACGATGATGATGATCGAAATGTCTCTCTGTTTGATGCTTACATCAGTGACAATCTCGGCATAGATTGTAACGGTTGCCAATTCTAACTCCTCGCTTGCAGACTGACACGTCAATCATCGTCATCGTCTCTATCAGCTTCAACGATCAGAACTTTCACCCTGTCCTTGAAGACCGCTTCAGGTTCTACGAGAACCCCGTCCTCGTCCTCCTGTACCCAGCAGGAGGCCCCACCGTCGGAGGTACCGCAGTGACCATCTTCGGCAAGGGCCTTCAGTCCTTCGGCGTCGACCGCATGTACTGCTCCTTCGCATCCCGCGTAGTAGAGGCAAAGACCAACAGCTCGTCCAAGGATCAGATCGAGTGCTCCTGCCCTCCCTCCTCCTCCTCAGGCATCGCCCTAGTCTCAGTCTCTCTCAACGGGCAGGACTTTACGGGCTCGCTCTTCTTCGACTACTACCTGCTTCCCACCCTGACCGCTATCTCACCCATGGGAGGCCCTCCCATCCGTGACCCCACTCTCTACACCACCGTCACCATCTTCGGCTCCGGTTTCACCTCCTTCCATGGCAACTCGCTGTGCAGGTGAGCTGGGAGGAAGGGGAGGAGGCGGTGAGGCTGCGGCAGGTTCGGCTGCTCAGTGACTCCGGCGACTGTCCAAGATGACTCAATGATGCTGTGCAGAGTGATCGATGATCGTTCCCTCTATATCTCCCTGATCCTTCGGCAGGCGCCATGGCCGGGCAAAGACTTCAATCTCTTCAGAGACGGATGCCGTCCTTCCATCTTCATCTCCTCCTGCACTTTCTCTCAGTGCAGTGCCGCCGGCTGTCGGCCTGTGCAGTACAACACGGTAGACAACATCACATGCGTTCTCGACCTCCTCCTCCAAGTCTCGCTCAACGGCTTCGACTTCTCTATGCAGGAGAACCTCAACTACCGCTACTACCAGCCGCCCAACATCGTCAAGTTCGGGCCGACGGGAGGGCCCGAGGGGGGAAACACCTTGGTAGAGCTGTTCACAGATTCAGCAGGAGGCTTTCAGCGGCTCAACGACGGCAGTTTCACCGTTGACATTAACGGCAGGTTGATGGTGTGCGAACAGCATGCGGGAGAAACAGTCCTGGCAGATGACTTCGATCCGACGCCGGAGGAGATAGAGCCGACTCAAGCTCAGCTGGACAAGTACGCGAACAGCGAGGTGGACCCAGCTGTCATCTACGAGCAGGTGCTGGCGCTCAACCGCAACAACTACCTCTACGACAAGTCCCTATGGGTCTCCGGGGACGGGCTCATCACCGACAGGCAGTGTGGGGGCAGCCCGCAGGAGGGGATGGTGAAGGCAGCGTTGCTAGGGGGGAACATCCAGGGCTTCGGCGCGAGGGTGACCAACGTTTCCGACATCTCCTCCTCTTTGCGGTTCACGGGTTCAGCTGAAGATCCGCTGGTGGGGAGATACCTCCTCTCCATCCCTGTCGACATCTCAAGGGGTGCGGACATCGAGTTCTTCCTGAGGAAGGGATATGCCTCGTGGCCTTCGGAGTGTGAGACCCCTGATGCTCAGGACGACCTCATCCTCTACCTCAAGTCAGAGGCTCTCTCCTCCTCCTCCTCCTCTTCCTCTTCCTCTTCCGCAAGTACGCCGTCTCCTCCGATCTGGAACGAGAGGTTGCGATGGGAGCTGCTGGATGACTTTGTTCCTGCAAGGACGCTGAACGCTGAGAAATCCTTCGTTCAGGTAGTGAAGCAAGTGCCCAACTTTCGGCGGAACGTTGCGCAGCCTCCTGTGCAGCAGGAGATGATCACCTGCCTGAGAAACCAGCCGTGCAACATGTCACTCGCTAGCTTCTTCCTCGTCCAGCCGATCTATGGCAGGGGGGCCTTTGACAACTGGGCCATTGACAACTTTCAGATCATCTCCAAGGTGGAACACTTGATTTTTGATTTCCCCCCCCTCCTCCTCTTCCGCTCTCATTCTCATTCTCATTCTCATTCTCATTCTCATTCTCATTCTCATTCTCATTCTCATTCTCATTCTCCCCTTCTCCTTCTCTTATGTCTGTTTCTTTCGCTCCTCCTCCCTCCTTCTTTTCTGCTCCTGCTCCTCCTCCTCCTGCTCCTGCTCCTCCTCCTCCTCCTGCTCCTGCTCCTCCTGCTCCTCCTCCTCTCTTGTCTACTCTTCTCCAACCCCCTCCTCTGTGTTCTCCTCCTCTCTTGTCTCTCCTCACATTGTCTCTCCTTTGCTGCTCATTGTTTCCCTCATGTCTCAGGGTGGGATCATGAGCGACTCTCGAGCTGTCTGCAGAAGTCCTCCCGGTGACGGCCCCATGAAGGCGGATCTTCGAGTTGCCCTCAACGGCCAGCAGTTCTTCCCAGCTGGAGCTGAGAATCCCTCAAACCTCGGCAAGTTCGTCTACTACCAGCAGCCGACCATCTACGAGATCATCCCAAGCGGGGGTCCAGCTGAAGGAGGATCCACGGTGACGATCTCGGGCAAGGGCTTCTTCAACTTCCGCGACTCCTCCTACCCTGCCAAGTGCAAGTTCGGGATCGGAGTGAGCGACGCTCAGGTCCTGTCCGACTCGCGGATCCTCTGCGCCAAGGTGAAGGATACAGCCTACGCAGGTGAGGGAGGAGGAGCTGTGAGGAAAGAGGAGGGGGTGATCAGTACAAGAGGTAGAGAAGGGATGGAGGAGATTGGAAGAGAGGAAGTACAAGCATGAGAAGAAATTGCGTATGGAGAAAGAAAACCAAAATTAGGAAGAAATACGAAGACAATGAGTCTCCAAGGTCAGAACAGTGTTGGTGGCAGCGAGCGCAGGGGGGATAAGGAATGTCGGAGAGGTGTCGCTTGCTGCTCCGAACTGAGAGCTTGTTCATTGGCAGGGTATGCAGAAGTTTTGATCGCGCTCAACGGAAGAGATTTCTCGTACAACAGCCCCTCCAGGTTCATCTATTACAATCAGCCTCTCCTACTGGAAGTCTTCCCCAACTCGGGCCCAGCACAAGGAGGAAGCAAGCTCTACGTAACTGGCTCCGGCTTCCTCACCCTTAGTCCCTACCCGACAGTCTGCAAGTTCGGGGCGATCAACAACCCTTCCATCTACTTCGTGGGGCCTTCGGTCACCCTCAACGACTCACTCATCTACTGCCTCTCCCCCAACGTGTCCAGCGTCTTCCTCGACGACGAGCTGACCCTGGAGGTAACGATGGAGATTTCTCTCAACGGGAACCAGTTCACGTCCTACGGAAACCTTTTCTTCTCATTCTTCCAGGACGCGCTGATGTTGCAGGCAGTGCAGGTCACGCCTGGCCGGAGGTCCATCAAAAACTTCGGAGATCCGATAACGGTTTACGGCAAGAGGCTGCGCAAGGACAAGGGGTTGAAATGCGTTCACCGCTCCGCTGCCTGCCAGGAGACCAACTGCACGGATGGGTTGTTTGTGACGAGTCTCTACATGCGATCGGAAAAGATGTACTGCTCTGCTCCATCCTTCCCCGGACAGCCGATCTCGACCACAAGAAGAATCTCCACCAAGGACCTGCTCCTCCTCTCCATGAACGGGATCGACGTCAGCGAGCAGTCGTCTGAGTTCTTCTACTACTCCCCAGCTCAACCCACTCAAGTGGTTGTCCCAATCGTCCTGGGAGGCATTGTTGTCCTGCTCATCGGACTGAGAGAGTGGAGGAGAAGGTCGCAGAAGTCAAGGAGGGTCGTTGAGACGCAGGCAAGGTGGGACAGGCCGTCGATTGACGCAGCGATCAGCCACATGCACGCAGTGGGGATCAGGAAGCCAGGAACTACGCGCAAATACAACTGGAGGTCGACAACCTGTGAAGATCTCGCGCAGTTCGGGGAGGGAGTTGGGCTGTACTTCAAGTTCCTGAAGCACTTCGGTCAGACTTTCACCATCATCTCAGGTTTTGCTATCACCTCCATTATCCTCAACAACGCAGGAGTCTCCTACTCCTCCAAGAAGATCTCGGCCTCTGCCCTTCTCCTCTCCACCATCGGCAACATCGGAGGCCCTGAGGACGGGACAGGGAACCTGGTCCTCCTCGAGATCAACCAGTACAACATCTTTATCGACATCCCCAAGGCCTGGGTGTCAGTGATCCTTGCTGCGATAGACACCGGCATCGTCCTCATCTTCTACATGTAACGCACCTCCTCTTTCCCCTGCTCCTGTTCTCCTGACTCCCCTGCAGCTCGTACATGCACTGGCTCAGCGTACAGAACCAGGTGTCGAAGGCGGCGGACAGCGACCGCTGCACGTGCTCGGACTATTCCATCATCGTGGACAACGTGCCGCAAGATGCGACAGACAAGCAGGAGTGGCAGGACTTCTTCAACAAGCTCAACCCCATCCAGGAGCACGGAGGAGAAATCTCCCACATCTCCATTGCCCTCAACAACGGCAAACTGCTGCAGCTGAGCCACGAGCGGGAGGCGCTCGAGAAGAAGCTGCAGTCCCTCCAGGCAAAGTTTGGCAAGACCCACTACGCGGATTACCAGGACAAGATCAAGAAAGTCGAGCGAAAGCTGCGCAAGTTGATCCAGAAGATGGGGGCGATGAGGTCGAGGCTGGACTTCAAGGCCGTTGTTGTGTTCGTAACGTTCGAGTCGGAGATCACCAGGCAGGAGGTCGAAGACGAGTTCAAGGGCATCCTTCCCAAGAAGCACACGCTCTTCCGCAACCGCTACCGCCTCAAGGTTCATCGTGCTCCCGACCCGGTAAGGAGCGTCAGCTCGCGAGAGACCTCTGCTGACCGTGAGGCAGGATGTGATTCTATGGGAGAACCTCCAGAGCAAAGGGTTGGAGAGCCGCATCAGGCTGCTGCTGGTCCTGTTTGTAACCATCTTCCTCCTCCTCTGCTCGTCGGCATCTATCGTCCTCCTCCTCAGCGCCAAGAAGTCCTTGCAGATGGAAGGTTTCCCTGCCTTCTGCGCAGATGCTCCCAACCCGCGATCCCAACGTGCAGGAGCAAATCATGTGGCTTCTCTACTCCGACGGGCGAGCAGTGTACCAGTCCTACCTCAAGTGCTACTGTGCAAACTGCGCTGTAGGCTGCGGCAACAAAGTCAACACTGAGAAGGATTTCTGCCAGGAGTACCTGACCAACGAGAGGAACTTGATGCTTCTCACCATCATCAGCGCTGGAGGGCCGTCGGCGATCAACGCAGTGCTGACGACAGTCCTCAAGGTGCTGGTGGAGTTCGAGAGGAAGCACAGCAGCAATGAGAGGGACGCTTCTCTTGCCAGGAGCGTCTTCTTTGCCCAGTTCGTCAACACAGCGCTGATCTCCCTGATCGTCAACGCCGACATCACCTACTACGTCTCAGCTCTCTCCATGCTGGGCAAGGATGGGCTGGGGCTCCTCACTGGAGACTTTAGAGACTTGACTTCGCGGTGGTACATGGTGGTTGGCATCGCCTTCATCCCCACAGTCCTCACTACTTCTCTGTCCCCCAACATCGGGCAGTTTGCCAAGTGGCCCGTCACTCTGGTCCAGCAGCGCATCGCAAAAACAAACGCGCTCACGCAGAAGGAGATCGACGAGATCTTTGCAGGCCCATCCTTGCAGCTCTCGGAGAGGTATGGGGCGATGCTCAACATTACCTTCGTCATCTTCATGTACGCTAGTGGTATGCCCATCTTGTACTTCTTCGGCATCCTCTACTTCTCTACCGCCTACTGGAGCGACAAGATCACCCTTTTAGAGGTCTTCCAGCGTCCGGGCTCGATCGACTCGACCCTCGTCCAGCTCGCATCCAACTTCTTTCAGGTACTTTGAGTTGCTCTTGACCTGCTCCGCTCATCGACGACACCTTGCAGTGGGCGGTGTACCTGCATCTCAGCTATGCATGCTGGAGCTTCGGTCAGCTCTACTCCTTCCAGCTCTACGTGCCAGTGATCACCGAGTTGGCGACTAGAGGGAAGCTCTCCGTGAAGCCGGGAGAGCGCATCGGATTCATAGCGATGGTTGCCGAGCGTCTGCAGCAAGCTCCAGCTCTGATCCCGTTCCTTCTCCTCCTTGCCATCATGACAAGGGATATTGTTGTGGCTTTCCTCGGCCCTGCCTACAGACATCTGCTGGACTTGTATCGGCGCAGGCAAAGGATGAAGGAGAGGCGGAAGTTGCGGGAAATGAGGAAACGGGCAAGTTCTTTGTGTGGGGTAGCAGGATAGATGACTGTCAACAGGCGGGTTACGATTCTGAAACTTCGGACGATGAGGACGACGAGGATGATGGGATGGCAGCTGTCAACATCGGCTCACAGCTCAAGTACTCGGAGGCCCTGGAATACAGTCTTCTCCAGTCGTTTCTTATCTTCTGCTCAACTGCTCATCTGAACTTCTGTTCCACAGAGGTATCGAGTCGTACGACATCCTGAAGAATCCAAAGTATCGTAACATCTTCTCGGATGCGGAGTACATCCCGCAGGCCGACTCGAGCAGGCATGTTAAACTAAGTCCGCTGCCAATCTGTGCTGACACAGTATGCAATCAGTGATTCAGACTTGTCGGAAGGAAGCTGGGGTGATGATGCTGATGAACTTCAGCGAGAGAAGGAGGTAGGAAGATAGCTCATGGTTGATGTTTCTCTGAAAATGTCTTCTACAGGAGGACGAAATCTCCTGAGGAAGTTTGTGCTAACAACCAAAGTACACACAAAAGAATCTAGGCTGAATACATGGCCGTATTTGCAGTCGGCAATATTTGTATCTCCTCGTAGGGAGTGCTTTGCTCCAATCGCACAACGTTCTCGTTCCTAAATCAGCTGTCAGAGCCAAGGTCTTCTGGATGCATCGCGGGATCTTACATGAGTGTGAGGAGGAAATAGAAGCATCTTGATGCAGTCCGTTTGGAGGGTCTTCCCTTGAGAATTGAACCAAATGACAGCTGAGAATCCTCATCGGGTAAATGAGAGGAGATCTTCTGAGCAAAGTTCAGACACTGTTCCGACAACCTCTGATGGAAAAAGAAATGTCAAATACTCCATCCAGCTGATCAGCAAAAACGCAGCTACCTGACTCATTGGCATCTGACTGTACTGCGTCATGGATTGAGGCTCCTCTCTCAGTGCGTTCTCACCAAAGCCAAGAGTCTGAGATTCGAATTCTAACGATCTGCTGACGGAATCATTCTCTAATCCCCCGAAGGATGTGAATCTAGAGACTCCAGAGGCACGTGAAGATCGTTCATGGGGGCTTTCGTCAAATGAAAATGCGTCCGGTGCTTCGAATGCGTCAGATATACCTCTTGACCTCCTTTGCACGATTTTTGAGAAATTTGTGTCCTCAGAATCTCTTCTGATTCTTTCGGGTAGCTCATCAGTGAGAGCAAAGGACGATGAATCAGCTTGATCACTTTCACCGACGTTGGCAAAATCGATCTCGTCAAAAATCCCTCTTTCATCGTTGAAGTCGTCGTTGTGCAACTTGACAAAGTCACTTTGCAATTCATCTGAAATTTCTCGGTCGGATCGGAGCATTTTACGGCGTCTTTCAAATGCCTTTGCAAACATATCAGCAATGTTGAACGAAAGAAAGATGCTTGGTCACCGGGACAATCGCATTCTTGGCCATTCCCAGCTCTCTGCCGTGAAATCAGATTGCACTTCAGTGTAGCATCAATATGTAAATCACATCATAAAAGACTGTAGCCTCTTTCCGAGAGATGTTGTAAGTGGAGCAGAGACAATGTTTTTGACCATCGTCAATTTCATCTTTTTGTATGGTTGATAGCAGCGAGAGAGATGATACTTTTGCCACTCCTTGTCTGTTACCCACATTCTCTGTTCCTTAGTCATATCAAAGTCATTCCACAGCATTTACTTCAGGAGTTTACATACCTCTTTGGAAACTTGAATGCACACATCCATTTTCAATTTGCGCTTGTTGCTTTTCATTGAGCTTTTCTGCTTCCTTTCGGTTTTCAACAAGTCGGTATTTTGATCGATTCCGCTTGTATGATGAATATTTGTCTGGTGACTTTCTTTCAAATCAATCTCTGCAACAGAGCTTTCGCTTTGTTGATTCTCTTCGAATTCCGTATATGGTATTTCGAGAGGATTGTTGATTGATTCTGAATAGTCGTTTTCATATGGCATAAGAATGTCAGAAAAATCATCTTTGGTCCCTTCGCTGTAATCTTGCTCGGAAGCTTTCTCAGGCAGATTAATTGTATCATTCCTACGGTATGCCGTAGTTTTATCAAGCTGAGAATTTAGATAAAACCCTGCTGGCTGACTGGTTTGAGTCATTTTGATTTCATCGGAATCCAGCCAATCCGGAATTTCATCTGCATATTTTTGAGTAACGCGATCATTTCTCCGAACCATACTCCAGTTACCTGGTATGTCGAGCATTGATAAATCATTTACAACGCTTTGAGACAAGGTGATGCTATCTTTCTTGCTGCTGTCCGCTTTTTTAGAAATCTTCATATCCACCGATTTGGACAAGCCGGCATTGAATGCAAGACTTAACCGGTCATGCGCATATTTAATCGTATCCTGAAAGAAGGAAACTTTTGCGTCATGCATTCGCACAAAGCCAAGTAGCAGCTGTCCATTTAATCTCAGAGCATATATTCTGTCGTTTTCTGGTTCAACAATGGCTTTGAACCCCTCTGTAACATAGACAGTCATTTCAACAAATTTACTCTACTTGAGTCGAGTACCTTGATAGCTGAAGTCTTCAGCTATCTTCTTTGAAATTTTCTTGGGATTGTGACAAGCTTGCCACAACCTGAAAAAGAGTGTCACTGCTTGTAGACAAGGCAATCAATAAATTACCTTGCTAGAGGGCCCTTTCCTCTGAGATTAAGCTCTGAGACGTAGAACATATCTGCGCCATCTGATCAATACAGCAGATTCTATTGCAAGGAGTAGGCCCAATTTGCGATCGCTATAGGATACTGGGGATAGGCAAGTACGAGAGGCAGGAGAGAAAGGAACACAATTCGCACGAGGGAATGCCAGGCTCCCCGGAGCAGGAGGAGGAGGAGGAGGAGGAGGAGGAGGAGCAGGAGCAGGAGGAGCAGGAGCAGGAGCAGGAGCAAGAGGAGCAAGAGGAGCAAGAGGAGCAAGAGGAGCAAGAGGAGCAGGAGCCGCCGCAGGGGCAGGGGCAGGGACAGCAAAATCATAGGAGGCATCTGCATTCGTGGAAGCCATGGCTAGGTTTAGGCAGGTGGGTTTGCTGCACTCTGGGCGGATGTAATCAATGGAGGGGTGAAGACGTAGGTAGGGGTCATGGAAGGTTTCACTGATTTGTACTGAAACACCATGTGAAATCCAGACCAAATAGGGGGTGGGTGGGCAGGAGCATAATAGGGTAGGGTGGATCGATTTTTGGCGCGCAAACCAGAGTTTGTCGCAGGGACCTTGTAGTACCCGTGATGAAACCTGGAAAGTGGTGGCAGAAAGGGGGTGGGTGGATCTCAATTCCCGCCCAGTCAATTTTTTTGGCGGGAAAACTGGAAGTGAAGAGAGCAAACTTGTCAAAAACAAAGATTTTGACCACTCAACTTCAGTAACTGCTCATAACCACCACAGCCTCTGGTAACCGTCACAACCGCACATATAACCGACCATTCACATAATGTTCGATAGTTGATTGTTGAAGAAGGCTTGCTGCCTTTAATTTTGTCAAAAGAATTACTCTGAGGTCAGCTCACCTTGGTTGACCTTGTACGGATTTTGAAGAGATAAGTAAAATCTTTTCATTTATAACTGGGGAGGCTCCTGTTTGTGAGGGGGGGGCATGGCGCGCTTGGGTCTACTTGCGGCTTCTCTCTGCTGTTTCATGGAGATATCTTCCTCGTTCCTGACGAATCCGGTACCTCTACATGGGAGAAGAGCATGTCTGCAACGATCCGCAGGATCATTCAGATGTAAACTTCCGTCTTCTGAGTTCGATGCTGAAGACATTCTCAACCGCATGAAAGGATCTTTGCAGAAAGATCTGTCGAGGGGTGATTCTAGCAATGATTCTTCCTCCAAGTATCAGCAGCAGCAATTTGAAGCCTTCAAGACGAATAATATTGGTTTATGGCGTGCTCTTTGGCAGACATACAATGCCATGGGAGATGTTGAACAGGAGAGCAAAATAGCTGTGGATGTGTATGAGGACATGAATGCAAACACAATCAATATCGATCATCTGGTGACGATCAATCAGATTCAGTCTGACTGCGAGACTTGCCATGACAGTGTCGAAACGAAAACAATGCCGGTAGCCCGGCTGGAGCATCGGAATCTTCGTAGGCACGTGATTGTCGGCTCTGGTCATGTCAACGGCCCGAACGTGTTACGAAGTGGATCGATGAGCACAGAGCTCTGTCTCAGACATGGCGACGGCAGGATGCGAGTTACAGTGCAACATGCTCCTGTGTGGAAGAGAGGGTCAGAGCAAACAGGAGTGCCAGACGGCTTGAAGATATTTCGAGTGATCGTGGCACGAGAATGCTTGAGGGACGGAGCTCCAACGCCCGATAGCGAGGCTGCGTCTCCTCCGCAGAGAGGAAATCCGACATTCTGGAGAGGAGTTAGCCCGTTCAAGTGGCATGCAGTCTGGAAAGGGAAGTCCAACACGTGGGGACAGATCAATGGAGTGAAGGCGTGGGAGATCGAAAGTCTGGAAGAAGGAGACGCATGGCACGGAAGACCACGAGGAGACAACGACAACACCTGGACTCTCCGTCTGCAAGGAGGCGTCCTCCTACAGGTGCCCTTCTCTCGGTCCTGTTCTTCCTCGATGACTCTGCCCAACAGGTTCCTCAACTGATACTGCCTGGGGAGGTGGAGTGTCTGCGGGTTGCATGGCTCCCAGAGGATGATATTCTCAAGCGCATCGAAGCGAGGTCCGTGAGAGTGTAGGAGGTGCCCTGGTGTGACGACGCTTGCAGAGTCGTGGCACTGCAGCAGTCTGAGGAACTCAACGACCAGTCGGGTGAGCGTTGGGAACAACCGATATGACCTTGTTGATGTGTTGTTGCAGTTTTGATAGAACCTCCAAAGCTGCTCTTCTTGCGCGTCGATGATCTCCAGGTGACCTTGCAAAGTTTTATTGTGTCTGTCGTTTCTGATTGCAAGTGTCCTTTTTTTCTCAGCGAGCTGGAAATCTACCAGAAATCCCAGTAAGAGATGTAGACATGGTGAACAACCTTTTTACCATCTTTGTCTGCAGGTCTTGATGACAGAAGAGGAGTGGCTCCAGAATTCGAAAAGGGAAGGATGAGATATCTGGAGCTGCCACATGCATGAGGTCAAGCAAATGCAGTTCCACATTGCGATCGGACTTTAGTTTATCCTTTGTCAAGCCAAGACTTGCTTGAACCGAAGAGTAGTGATTTTCAATGAATGACTGTTCAAAATCACTTATAAGCAACGCTATTCAGAAGGACATCCATAAGACCTCTAGTAAAACTCTCAGTCGAAACATAGCGGGCCTTACAGCCTCGGACAGCATGAACTCACTATCAGTAACTGCTTGAAAGTTTCACTAATCTGAACTCGGAAGTACGGTAGTGGCGATCGGTCGGTGGCCTCAAGAAAGAATCGTGACTGTGATGGGAGGCAAAGCATGCGGCTTCTGGATGCCGTTGATACTCGCTCATGTGGACGAGCATGGGGTTCTCGATGCAAACACTCACTCAGGAAAGACCCTTCACGGGGACCAGAGGTGCGTCGATGTGTTCAACAGTGAAGGGAGACCGTCAGCCTACGACAAGAACATCCAACTCTGCTTCGCTGTCATGCCCCCTTGTGCGTTGCCATTGAAGGCGTGTGCTTTGCTGCTGAACAGCATCATAGCGAGCATCGTAGTTCGAGTCTGTGGTGGCGGCTCGGGCTCTGCACGCCGGTCAAGACATCGCCAAGGAGATGGGGGTTCATTTCTATCCCACCATGAAGCGCAGTCTGCGTTCTTGCCCAGTGTGGCTGTCAGGAACCATGTGCTGGGGGATGACTCGTCATAGCAGCTTCCGGAAGCTTCTTGCTACCGCATCTAACGAGTGCTCTGCTATCATTGAAGCGATTGCGAGCGATGCCTCGTCTGCTGGTATCAGCCAATCTTTGATTGAAACATTGAGGCAAGTCAAGCCGCATGCCCGTTCATCTTATGACTCAGCTAGGTAGTCGCTCAGAAGAAGACTGATAGGTAGCTGCTGCACTTCTCTCAAAATGTCTTAATCTTGTCACTACGAGCTTGCAAACATCCTCCGTCATTTATCATATGCTTACCGCCATAGTATGTCTGAAAATCTAAAATCGCGTGTAATTTTTTTCTAGAGTTTTCCTCTGATGGTGGAGATGTATTAATGATAGAATGCTTTTGTGAGGTCATTCATCTGTCAATCAATGACCGTCGATGAATTTGGTTGACATGACCTCACTGGTTTTCCAGCAAGCGCTTCGATACCTGTCTATTACCTCCTCTCACTGCCTCTCTTCTATCCGTCTCCTCGCGTGCTTCTCCTCTCGTCGCGTCAAGGCTGATCTTGAGCAGAGCGTCGACGATGCGATCGGAGACGGCAGCCGCGTGTTTGGGCCTGACCCCGACGTGATCTTCCTGCAGGCAAGACCAGAAGGCGCGGGGAGGGGGAGGAGCTGAGAAGAGTAACAGGCACATCGGGTGACGATAGAGGGGGAGGAGAGTTTATCGTTCGAGGTGCGAGGAGGCGAGGGGTCTTGTCGCCTTGACCCGAAGATCAGGCGGGAGCACCTTGGTGGCGGGACGAAAGAGAGCAGAGAACAAGGGGGAGAGGTCAGACAGACTTTGGCGATCAAAGCTCGCGGAGACTCAAAGGAAGCAAAGGGAGGACAAGCGATTGTTAGACATGAGGTGCTAGAGCTGGAGCTATGTTTGCTTTCGCAGATTACTCAACAGTTTGTACCTAATTGCTGAATGCGAACTACTTGCAATCATGAGAACAAGATGCTTCAGTACTTGAGTCACCCAATACAAGCAGTTGCTGCTATCAGAACAGCCGAGCCCAAGATCGATGTGATTGAATATCGCACTAGGAGCTAGGACCCTGCTATGACAGCTCATATTTGGATTGGATAGCTGCATAGATAGCGATATATGTACCTCTTCTGGTTATAACGCAATTCCCCCTGGCTTCCCACATACACACCATACTCATCCTGACTGTACCCGGAAGGTGGCACACCATTGACTCCCCAGAAGCTCGGAGATCCTCCGATGACCCAACGAAAGTCAAACGCTGATGCTGCTGGAGTTCGAAGTCCGATCCACGTGTAAGACACACCGACACCGAGACGAGATGTCACATCAAGGTATGTCTGAATATCCGGAAAGTACGCCAGATGTCCTTCTCTTCCTATCCCATTGCACCTCGACTCCGCGTCCCACCACGTCCGAGAATCATAGCTGTAGTAGACGTAGAGATAGTCGCCTGCCTGCATGCATGTGCCTCCGCTCCCCGTGACATCCGAGCATGACTGCACTGACGGAGATGTCATGCTGCAGTCAGCTGAGGTCGAGCTCGCGCATGGCATGGAGAGAGAGAAGTCCTTGAGCCCCCAGAACGTCTTGGCGCTCGAAGCTGACACCTCCCAGTAGTCGTAGTCTACTCGGATCATCGCCTCCACGTAGTCTTCCGTGTGATACACTCGCACCGCACGCTCGATCAGCTCGTCGCCGTCGCTCTTCCCGCACTCAGACGGCCAGGACGCCATGGCTCCCGCCGTCTCGCTCCAGACCTCCTGGCGGTTCACGTACAGACGCAGCGTCACCGGCTGCACCAGGTCGACGAGCAGCAGTCGCATCTTGACGTACACGAAGCCATGCTCGCACAAGCCCGTGAACGTCTTGCTCACGCTCGCGTGCTCGCCCAGCACGTTGAGCCCTCCCAGCACTGAGCCGTATGCCCCGCAGCTCGAGGTCTTGTCCGCGCCCCTCCAGCCCATGCTCCCGTTGGTGCCGAAGTCTCCCTCCACCCACTCCATCCTCCTCGCGTAGGTGCCGCTGGGGCAGGGGCTGCAGCCTCCCTGCGAGGCGTTGAGGAAGTAACCTGCAGGAGCAAGACACGCCCGTCAGAGCTCGGCAGCGTCAGGCTCCAGCCGCGTCACCGGAGTCGCACATGCAGCTCGACCGATCCTGAGCTTGGAAGGAGGACTGGCTGTGGGCGGGGCACGAGGAGCAGTTGCCTGTCTTGCCTGCGGGGCGTGTGAGGGCTGCTGGTAGCGCTGGAGCGGGAGGAAGGAGAGGCGGGAGGGAGCATACCGTACTGGTTATTGGCGCAGGTGCATCGACATACTCGGACGTTGTTGGCGTTAGAGGCGCTACAAGTGCCGGGCAAGCCCTTGCGGTAGAAGGCTTGACCTGTGACGGGGTTGTAGGAGGGAGCGTCCGCGCTGTCGGTCCCGACAATCGCGGAGACTGGTAAGCTCCAGGAAGAGAGAAGGGCAGACAAGTCTGGCTGAGGGAGCAGTACCGGCTGAGCCTCGTCTAGACACGCCAGGCTCTTCGACCCGCAGACAGCCGAGCATGAGACTCCTGGCTGACTGCCAACGAAGATCTCTTGCTCGATCAGCTCGCACTGGTCGTGAGGGGACGTGACCTGCCTGCTGTACCCCGTCGCTCTCACGCCATAGCCTGCATGACAGAAGCAGTCTTCGATCGACCTGCTTCCAGCTCGCGACGAGCTGAAGGCGGGGCAAGACGAGCAGTTCCCAGCTGACCCGTAGCTCCCTGCATCCACCTCGTAACCCCAACATGTGGCACTACGAGGCGAGCTCGCGAGTTTCACCCACCTGCCTCGCACATGCAGTCCTCCACCGACGAGCTCGCGAACGGCGAGAGGAGGCCTGACGGGCAGGAGGAGCAGGAGGGCCCCTGATCCAGGTAGTAGCCTACGCGTCCGCTTGCCGTCAGCGCCAGCTCGAGCAAGCTCAGGCCCTACCGCCGATGCACTGGCACTGGTTGACCGAGGAGCTGCCGGTAGGCGACCAGGCGTTGGCGGGGCACGAGTCGCAGGAGCCCTGGGGGCCCCAGGGAGCGTCGGAGGAGTTGACGTAGAGGTACCGTCCTAGAGCAGCAGCAAGCAGCGTCAGATCCTTGTCCTCCCGCCCCTCGCAGGCCCGAGGCGGCTGAGGCGGGCTACCTTGATCGCAGGAGCAGTCGCGGATGGAGGAGCTGCCGGGCTGCGACTGAGAGTAGAAGGGACATGGGAAGCACTGGTCGGCTTGACCTGCGAGCGTCTCGAGCGTCAGGCGCGAGCACAAGCCAGCAGCAGTCGCTACCGTAGAAGTTCTCCAGGCACGGGGCCGAGCACACGCACACCCGGCTTGCTCCATATAGTTTGGCGTCGCAAGCTGTCTCAGTGTCCTGAGAGCGGAAGGAACAGCCGAGGTCTGACACGTAGGGAGCGATGTTGTTGTTTGCTACATCCATCGAGTCGCAGGAGACGTTGAGGGTGTGGTTGTAGGGGGCGGAGCTACCAGCAGACAGCTTCTGCATGAAGTGACTCGACACGGCTCTCAGCTCATCTGCTCGCAACGCTCCTCGCCAGATCGCTACCTCGCTCAACGCCCAGTCTGAATATTCAAACACATAGCCGATATTAGGGTCCCAGGTGATGTCGTTGATGGTGAGCTGAAGGTTGCCCGGCAGGCTCCCAGCTGATTGATCATACTCCACGCCGTTGAGGAAGAACTTGCCCTCGAAGTAGTTCTGCCCGCACAGCACCACCCACGCGTCTGCTGTCGCGCTCAAGTCCTGCTGAAGGATCCAAGAGCCGTCGTAGTAGGCCTGTCCTCGTCCTCCGTTCCAGTGACCATGCACAAACTGTTCGTCTTTGGCTTTCAGGATTCTGTTCCTCATATCACCGTTGTAGCGAGAGATGGAGCAGAGGGTGAAGACAGGGCCCGGGATGCTCATGGGGGGGAAGGAGACGACGTCATAGAAGGAGCCGTTGACGTACTTGAGCTTGCCATCCGACATGACCCTCAGAGGCTCCTCGCTCTCGTCCCTCATCTCTCCGACCGAGATCCTCCACGTCGATCGCCCGTTGTAGTTGATGCTTCTATAGTAGATGGCGATGGGTCCGACTTGACTTCCGACAGCTTTCTGAAGAGGGAGATCAATCCTGCCGTTGAGCTGACTCAAAGGAGTCGTGGTGTAGAAAGGAGATACTATGCTTCCATATCCGACTTTTGCTAGTTGAACTACATTTCCTTTGTCAGCACCCTCGACAGTTACGCTGACCGCTATCATCCTCGAGCTCTGCAGCTCCACAGGCACATCCACATAGAAGTTCTGAGTGATATCACAACAAGTTCGCCCTGCGTTAGGACCTGACTGAGGTACAAGAGGAAAGTTGGTAGCCCCGTGCTCTACGTATCGTCGACGCTTCACGTGCCCCCTGCTCGCCGTCAGGTCCTGCAGTCCGTCTCCTCCCTGCTCGTGAGCTCCCGCGCTCACCCGCAAGTGAAGGCCCCCCGGCCTCTGCTGCGGCTCCGTCATCGCTCCCCGGATCCGTCGATCGGACGCGATGCTCGCCGCCTTCACGGCCGATCGCATCGCCTCCTCGTTGTCGATCTGGTTGATCGCCGAGCTCACGCACGTCTTCCCTTCTGCCGCACACGTCTGAGCGCATGACATGCCCGACGCTCCCAGCCTGAGCCAGCGCGACTGCTCCTCGACGTTGGAGAAGATGGGCGAGCAGCGGTCGGCAGCGCTCGAGATGGTCCCGGAGAAGCCTGCGGACAAGCCTCGTCAGCCGCCTGCGCATGAGAGGAGGCGCCTCCCGCCCCCTCACCGTACTCGCACTGGCAGTCCGTCACCCGCTGGCTTCCCGCCGCTGACGACGACCCGGGAGGGCACGCGCTGCAGCTGCTGTCTGCCGTCCCGTAGTAGCCGGGCGCGCACGAGCTGCAAGACGTCTGCCCGAGCCCGGAGGTGTAGAGGCCCGCGGGACAGGCGACGCAGGAGCCCGAGGGCGACGCCGTGTCCAGGTAGAAGCCTGCGGCCCCGCACGATGACGTCAGAGCGATGGGGACGCGAGCCTCTCTACTCCTTACCCTCCTTGCACAAGCACTCGAAGCTCCCCTCCGTGTTGACGCACGTCCTCCCCGCATCGCACAAGCCTGTCTGCGTCACGCACTCGTCTTCGTCCTCGCACACGGTCCCGGACCCCACGTACCCTGACCCTCTCGCGTCAGCGTCGCTGCGGCTGGGGGCGAGGCAAAGAGGGGCTACCTGGCTTGCAGCTGCACTCGAAGCTCGAGTAGGTGTCGATGCAGCTCGCGTGGGTCGCGCAGTTGTCGGTATGAGCGGCGCACTCGTTGATCAGGGTGTAGTTACAGCCCGACGCTCCCGTGCAGGCTTGGAAGGTCCTCGGCTTCGACCCCTCGCACATCCCCTCCCCCACCTCCACCCCGTCCGACCGCACGCACATCACCGACCGGTACTGCAAGCCAGGCCCGCAGGTGCTGGAGCATGCTTCCCAGGCGGAGGGGGTCCATCGGTAGGAGCAGGAGGAGAAGTTGGCGCAAGGCTGAGCACGCCGTCAGTCGCAAGCTCGCTCGCTCATCCTCCAGCACCTCCTCGCTGACGGGAGCTGATCCCACACACTTGGCTGCCTCGACGGTGACGCCGTCGCTCCTCCGGCATGAGACGGGGCGACGGCGAAGGCCTTGGCCGCAGCCCGTGAGACACTCGCTGTAGGGGCCGACCTCCCACTCGTAGGAGCACTGGGAGAGGTTGAGGCAGGGAACCTCCGCCAGAGGCCTCGAGCGGTTGGAGCAGCGAACGTCCTCGACCTGCTCGAGGAGCTTCGAGATGCACGTGATGCTTCTCCTCGCCACTCCGCTGCCGCACAGGCTGCTGCACTCGCTAAAGCTGCCGGCGCTCCACAGGTAGCCGGGCTCCAGGTAGTACTGGTCCAGCAGCTGCTGCACTTGCTGCTGGCTCACGCACGACCCCCCGCATCCCCCCGAGCGGATCTCCTGCTGGAGGGCCTTGAGCTTGGCGAGGATGTTGGAGAGGGCCAGGTCGGGCTGGAAGGGGCCTTGCTGGAGGAGGCTGGGGGTCAGCGCACGAGGAGAGGTCAGAGCGCAGGCAGCTGCTTGCCTGCGTGAGGAGGAGCTGCGAGTCAAGACCCCACGGGAGGAAGACTTCCTGCACCTCGTCGAAGACGAAGCACATGGCGTCTCCTGCCTGCTGCACACAGCGGTTGTCGTAGTCGCAGACCCAGACCTCGTACCTGGCAGCAAGTATGTCAGCCTCTGCTAATGCGCTGGAGGAGAGGGGAACCTGTCCATCTGCATGAGGTGGCCAAGGCCTCCGATCTGAACTCTTCCCTCGTCCTCTTTGTTGACGATCTGAGACCAGTTGTAGGGGAGGGAGCAGCGAACTACGCTGGAGGTGAGGTTACCCCAAGGAAGCTGCGGCGAGGAGGTGACAGAGGCGTTGAGGCTTCGAAGCTCGTCGAGGGTAGCGGAGAGGCTCTGCTTGATGCTGCGGATCTCCCACTCCAGCGCTCTGACGGCATCGGCTGACTGATCTGAGAGGGAGGAGGAGAGCACAGAAGGAGAAGAGGAGAGGAGGAGAATGAAGAAGAGGACGGGGGCTGGGGAGAGATCGAGGGGCCTCATCCCAACTATGCACGCGAGCATAGGCATTCAAGGATGTCCCCTATGCAGCAGCTCGGGTCTCTCCCGGCCTTGGATGGGGGAGGGGGTCGTGCTTGGAGGGTCGTGCTTTTAACCTAGTGGCTCAATTATTGAATTTCCTTGCTTCCCCACCCCTCTTCAGACTATCAAGTCGTCTTTTCCCCAACATAGCATTGCTATCTCACCGGACCCCTCCCCTCCCCCTTAGCTAGCTCATGAAGGACCGGTACGACGAGGCCGGCTGGTCACCAGGACGGCCCGACGTCACACTGTTTAATAAATATCACAGTACTAAAATTTAGTCATCACTGATAATTTGTACTGCAATGATCTTGAGATCCAGTAGTTCACACGGTGACTCTGGTCAAACTGGCTACTCAAAGTTACTACCACAGGCACCCTCAAAGTTTACTCATCGAAATGGTCAATCTGCTCAAGATCCTGGGCGGGCCCGGGCGAATGTGGTACCGTTCATGATGGTGTTTTATCTTGAACGCATCTCAGCACACGGCTGTCGGGGCTACTGCTGGGAAGGGATGAGAACCTTGTGCTGGCAAACGTTGACAATGAGGGAATCCATAGTCGCTCACCTTGATATCTTGTGATAGGGTCCCATGTGCCCATTGTAGCTGTAGCTGTAGCTGTAGATGGAGAAGGGGATGGCGATGTAGCTGTAGCTGTAGATGTAGATGTAGATGTAGATGTAGATGTAGATGTAGATGTAGATGTAGATGTAGATGTAGATGTAGATGAAGATGTAGATGTAGATGTAGATGTAGATGTAGATGTAGATGTAGATGTAGATGTAGATGTAGATGTAGATGTAGATGTAGATGTAGATGTAGATGTAGATGTAGATGTAGATGTAGATGTAGATGTAGATGTAGATGTAGATGTAGATGTAGATGTAGATGTAGATGTAGATGTAGATGTAGATGTAGATGAAGTTCCTTTCGTATGTGCTTTCATTGCCAAGGCTAACCGTCCCAAAATTAAACTTTGAGACATCCTCAACCCTTTCGCTCTGCCTTCTCCTCCTCCTGCTTGTCTTGATGCTGTTGAAGTTTTCACTTGAAGAAACTTGGGAATGGCCAACACTTTGCTGATCTGGCTATGCATGCAACACACGGAATTGACTAGATATTCATCAGGTTTCTTTGAGCCGCTGAGTTAAAGATTTTTTTCGTTGACGGAAATCACACGATGCCAGAGAGTTTCATGTAATCGCTTCTTGGTTCCATTCTGGAGATGAAAGCATTTGCATTCATCTCGTTGATATTCTTTGCATGCTCGACCAGAACGTCGCATAGCTTGAAGTGTGTGAGGGTATGGGCGACCATTGAAACCGGATTATGCCGAGGACAGAGATTCTCAACATTTTGTGCTGAGGACGCAAATAGTGCAGAAGTGAAGGTGCCGGTGAGTACTTTTCCATTCATGATCGATAGAGAGATTAATGTATAGCCAGGACGTCAAGAAAACGTTTGAAAACATCACTGCTGTCAGATGTAAGAGATTTATGGATCAGATGTGCTCAGAGGTTGGTCTGACATCAGAAATTGGAGGAGAAGACTGTGGCATGTTCTGTTTGTCTCCAGCTTGTGAGACAGATACTGACTGTAACAAGTGGTCAATGACTTGGCAGCCCCCATGGTGTTGTAGCCTCCTGCAGAAAACGCTCTTGAACTTCTGCAAAGACGCAGACAAAAAGAAGATCGACAGTCATTTAAATGACCTCATGCTTCAAAAACGGTTCGTATGATTACCCTCTCCAATCCGATACCTTTGCAGTTGACGGCTCTGTCAGGTGTTTTAAAGGATCAGAATGCATTGATGGTCTTGCCTCAAACTCTGCCAATCTATTGAAGACTCACTATCTGCTTCACTTCGTTACCTCCGTAGGCTTGTTCGTGGCTATCTGCTTCACCTGAAAGATTACACTTCCCAATCATTTTTAGTTCCCCAACCACACTGAAATCAATCTTAAAACACAGGCCTTCCAATGATGCCATTTATCTATAGCTAATGCACAAGATTCTTAGCTAGTCTTGCGCTGCAAAGCAAATCCGAGCAGAGCCTGTGTGCCATATTAGGTTGACTTAGTCCAGCGTAAGCATCTGTCTCACCACAAAGATGCTGAGCGTCCAGATTGGTTGCGACAGATGTCCGATGTTCCCAAGGGCGAAGTAGTTGACGAATCCGAACAAGAGAAGTCCTCCTCCTGCTGCCTGAATGTAGATCGGACCCTAGCACATCAGATTAATTACTCTTGTGCCCATGTGGCAACTAGTTTTCATACATTCGTACGCTGCCACTTGCCGATCTCTGTAAGTTCTTCACCCCACTCGCCAGCAGCAGACCTGTCAGGTCCAGCAAGCAGCTCGCCTCTACACCATACAAACATCACATCAGAACAATGGAAGACAAAGTCGCAGAGGGCCTTCAGACCTGTTCTCAACGTCGTAATACTTCTTGGCCATCAGCTGCTCCTCAGGGAGATTGCGACTCAACCAGCTGGTCCTCCTCGCATCAAGTCCGCGCTTGCCTATGAGCAGCTTTTCAATAGAGGCTAGGATAACATTCATCGAATCATCGATTTTTCGTATGACAGGATAATTGGGCTATCGGGAGCTGGCTGACATGAAGGAGATTGAACAAGACAACTCAGGAGTACGAAACAGTAAGCTTCTTACGCGTTTCCGACAGGACTGGCTCCTGGGTTTCACTCTCCTGCATGCGGAGCCTGCAAGCGTGCTGCAAAAGAGATTTTTAGCAACCTGTGTGTGATATGCGGGACTGCGAACGTGAAGAAGCAAAACGTTTTGCAAGAGGGTTGCAAACAAGATGACCAAAAATCTGTAATCACAGCCATGGCACAAACTGCCAATACCACAAAAAATTTTGTGGAAGATGGTAGAAATTCATGTAAGCAGAAGTTCAATGTGGATGAAACAGAGTCTTGTTCCCGTCTTTTAGAGGCATTCCATGACACAAACATCCCATACATGATACAAGTGACGAGCGAAATAGCATAGGTAGATCAACACAGTGGGAAACATCGAGGGGAGAGCAACGCAGGAGGTCATACCTTCGGAACTTGAGTCCTGATCTGGAGGGTTGAAGAGGAGGGAGCAAACGCACTGGCGCCATCGACCGCAAGTGCCACGAAGACTGCAACAAGAAGTCGCGCCATTGATTAGCAAGTGCCTCCAACGTCTACCCAGGGGTCCTTTAGAGGCACTTGGAGTGGGTGGGGTAGCTATTGTGACCCATGGAGCCCTTGAAGATATAAAGGCAGCACTGGGGCGGCCGGCCCGGCGGTCGGAAGGGCCGGCCCGGCCCGGTCCCGGAAACCTGCTCAGTGGAGCTAAAAAAAGTTTTTACTCATCGTTGTTTTAGTTATCGGAAGTTCTCGTTACATTTATGTTTATCTATGTTTATCTATGTAACCGTCAGGTCTTCGGAGGCGTTCCGGAGCTGCGGGCCTTTTACGTGAAGAACGCTGTCAGCAACGATCACGGGCTCGTATAATTCACACCGATACATCCACCACCCCGTGGACCTTATTTTCAAAATGAATCTTTTCGAAATTAGAGCATCAAAATAGCCGGAAGTTCGGTATCTTGCCCCAATCTTGAGCCTCAGGTCACGGGGAAAGTTCCAAAAGATACTTTTTCGAGCCATACAAGCATGTAGGATGACTCATCAATTGACACTCGTGTACCACCCCCACCCACTCTTTGCCTTACATTCTACCCCCCCACTTACACGGGCTGATCATCGTGTTTTTCTTTTTTGCACACTTTCACTTTCCGACCCCGCTCAAGAGATATTCTGTCGGTCAATGGGTGGGTACTGAAAGGACGGAAGAAGGGGTGGGTGGGGGACTGGAGGGGGTGAGGTGTAAGAGGTGGGGGGTGGAACTGCAAAGGGTGGTCAAGCCATGCAAGCGCAGCGACTGTTACGTTGAATCGGAGCAAACAAGAGAACGCTGATTGATCCCACAAGCAGGAGACAAGGAGAAGGAGGAGAACAGAGGAAGGAGAAGGCAAGAGAAGATACTGTGATGAATACGAGGAGTCATGGCGGGAAAACCCGTGGATAAGATTGAGCCATTGTAATACGCCAGGAACCACAGCTTTGTAGAGTTTCAGGTCCGGACGACAAGCTTTCAAGATGAGTCTTTCCGTCATGATCTTAGAGAAGGAGGGGGGGCTAGCACAGACTGAGTTTCTTGAACCAAGTCGGAAGGGGTACTGTCTGTCCTGCTTGGATGCGGTCAAGACTCTGCAAGAAACTGGCAGGTTTGCTAAAGCCCTTTGTTCGATCTCTTTTGTAACCTCTCATCAGGTTTGGAGAAGCACAGAACGAGCTTGAAGATGCTCTCCGGGAATCAGAAAACTGGCGCGAGATGGCGGTGGCCTGTCTGCTGCTGGGAGAGCTCTTCAACAAGTGGGGAGCCGCCTCTCCCTCTTACACTATCGCGATCATGGAGAAAGGCGCGATTTACGCGAATAGAGCAGTGCAGCTGTGGCAGATTGCAAGAGACGAGAAACTCTTCGAGGAGAACCCTGAAGACATGGACCATCTTAGCAGTGCCTTGTACTGGAAGGCCTTGAACCTTGCTTCAGTCGCTGGCCTGGGGGGATGCGAAAGATGGACAGTCTTAGAAGCCTTGCAAGCGGCGACGGAGGCAGCAGAGCAGATGTCAGCCATGGAAGACAAGAAGCACTCGGCCTCAGAAGTGAAAGCCCGAAGAGATTTCGTGAGAGAATTTCTTGTTGTTGTCTTGGTCTTACCACAAGTTCGCTTCGATCAGGTGGAAGGAATCATTGTCTTCTGTCGAGCGAAAGCGCTTGAGGGCAATCATGTCAGTCCCACAGGTACTTGACGTTGAGATTTAGGTGCAAGACACTGAATTCTGACTCATGCTTGCCCTGCTCAGACTTCTCAGACTGTTACCACCAGGATACCAAGGATGAAGTGAATTTCCTTAGACATCAATGTCTTGAGCTGTAAACACTGCACCGATGTTGATGAGTGAATCTGATTGATTCAACAGATTCATCAGCGCACAGGAAATCCTTTCAGCTGGAAAGCAGACGATGTGCGATCAGGTTTGTGCTGCAAGAGTTTTCGGCTGGTCCCGCTGACAGTACGCAGAATATCAAGGCAACGACGATGATTGCAGTGACGTACAGGCTACTGGGCGAGAGGGAGAAGGTGAAATAGTAGGGGATGAGAGGTTGATCTGAATGCGATGGCAGGCGATCAGTTGGAGTGAGAAGGAAGTGCAGGGCAGGTTGCAACTGCATGGCGAGTGGAATCCTCGAACACAGGTTGAATTTCACTTGCTGGTTCCTGCTGGGTCACTCCTGGACGGCAGCTGGCAAAGAGGAACTTGTCAATGCTGAAAGGCATAACCGATGAAGATGAGATCGAAGAAGATTGCTGCAAGGTGCGATGAGAAGGGTCATGGAGGACAAGACTGATGATCACGCGCCAGCTGTTCTCTTTTGAGTCTGCTCGGAGCATCAAATCCGAGGAGATTACGTGGAGTTTAGGTTGTCATGACTGCTGATAAACAAAATTATCGTGTTGTGACAACTTGCATTACAGATCCTTTCAAGCTCTCTAGCACTTGGCGTATGAATTGTCTTCTAAAGATTTTTCTCCTCACCGGAGTCGTGAAAGAGTTCCAGGTTGATGCTTGTTGTTCGAACTTACCTTATTGATTCTTTCGAACTCAGATTGAGGAAGACAAGCTCATAAAATTTCTACAGAAAGTTAGAAAATCGTATATCATTTCATTCTACAGACAATGTTGTTGTGCTGACTTGCCTCCTTGGGATCAGCTATCATGATGAAAATCCATTCCACAACTGGTGAGAGTTTGGAATTTGCCACTTGACACATCCTCACACACGTTCAGGTATCATGCATGGTCTGTCACTCACTGTGCCTTCATGCTGATGAAGGAAACAGCGATCGGAAAGTAAGAACCTGATCGTGCTTGCACTGTGTATTGTGGTTGAACTTGCCTTTTACAGGATCCTGGGCATGAAAGAGAAGCTTGCTGTCCTGATTGCTTGCCTCACTCACGACCTCTCTCATCCCGGAGTCAACAGCGACTTCCTGATCAAGAGCGCATCGCCCATTGCCCTGCAGTTTCCTTTCTCCAACGTAAATCATCGCGGGAAGGGCGATGAGTTGCGCTGACCTGAACTTGTTCTTGTGCTCCAGGTCCTCGAGCAGATGCATTGGGATGAAGCTCGCTCTTTGTTTGAGGAGGGAAGAGAAACAAACTTCTTGAGCCACGTGCAGGAGGAGCTGCGTGCTGAGGTCGTTTCCTGGTCCCCTCCTGACCTGCGCGCTCCTCTGACTTGATTCCTGACAGATTCTTGAGATGGTACATCAGGGTATCCTGGCAACCGACATGCAGGTGAGGAACGAGGAGGAGGAAGAGGAGGAGGAGGAGGAGGAGGAGGAGGAGGAGGAGGAGGAGGAGGAGGAGGAAGATCAGCGTAAGCTGAGTAGGCACCATGTAAAACTTCCCCGGCAGATCCACAAGCAGATCGTCAACTCTCTTTCCAACAGAAGAGACTCGTTGGCTGATTTTGAGGAGGTGAGTTTGACAAGCTGCCTGCCAACTTCGATCGCTTACAAGAGTCTTGATAGGACGACATGACTCTCTTGTCCGACAAGGCCATGACTGTGCTGCCTGTCCCCATGCCAGGCTCGTGCTGATACGTGATCGCCTGCAGGTTTACGACGCCACAAGTCCGGCTGATCGATTGGAGCTCTTCAAGGTGACAAGCCTGCTATATGCAGGACAGCAGCTGAGGTTCAGCTCAGGCTGTCGTTCATTGCGCCGATCTGTCGGGTCAAGTCATGGAGGCGCCTGTCGCCTACTCCTTCGGTAGGGCGGTGAGTACAGCGCCTCTATCTGCCTTCCCCAGCTGAAGGCCAGCAGGTGCTTGAAGAATTCCACCAGCAGGCCCAGCGAGAGAAGATGGAGAACTTGCAAGAGTCAGCGTTCATGAAGGTCAGGTCCAGCTCATGCCCAGCTGCAGTCTGAGAGCCCTTTGCAGAACCTCCACGAGCCGCTGGCCCAGGCGAAGACGCAGCTAGGGTTTCTCCACTATGTGAGCGGAAGGGTCGCGCTAGCTGGGGTCCTGATGGGGTGCAGGTGGTGGGGCCGCTGTGGAAGTGCATGGCGGATCTGTTTCCTCAGGTTACATCGCAGTATGACAGGATACAAGAAAGGAGCAGGTGAAGTCCGAACTCAAGTCGTAGCTCGCCTCGCTCACCCTGCAGTCGTCTTCCTCGTCCTGCTGCTCTCCGTCCTGCTGTTCCTGCTCTTGTTCCTCCTCGTACTCCCTCTCCTCCTCCTCTGTGTCCTTCTCCTCCTCGTTTCCTTCCACAACTTTTCAGCTCTCTTTTTGATGTCTCATCTAACTTGTCGCATCAGAGAAATCGACTTTGAGAATCTTGAGAGCTGGCAAGGGAGACATGAGGGTCTCAAGGGCTGAGGAAGAGACTCACCTGATTGTTGTAGTTTATTGTTTTCATCATACCCAATTTTAACCTTCTCCTTCTCCTCCTCCTTCTCCTCCCCCCCCCCCTTCCCTTCCTCCTGCTTCCCTCCTCGCTCGTATCCCTCTTTCGTCGATTCTCGTCTGCTCCTCCTGAGCTTCTATCCAGCTGACGCTATCAAGCTGCTCGCCTTGTCACGCAGCTTGAGCGCCTGCCATGAAAGGAAGACAGTGAGTGGAACAAGAAAAGGATTGGGGGGAGGAGGGAAGTAGACGAGCAGGCAGTGGAAGTAGTGGATGGAACCAGGGAGGGAGGGAGGTAGGGAGGGTGAGGGAAAGGCAGGAAGGCAGGAGGGGGCAATCAGTTGAGGAGAAAGAGATCGCCAGAAGACCTTGGAGTTGGTGGGAGAGAGCAGCAGCGCACGATCGCAAGTTTTCATGGCCTCCTGCTGAGAGTTGCGAATGAGGAGCAGTAGATTCTCCTCCTCCTGCTTACCGGGAGCTGGAGCCGGAGGAGGGTGACGGCGAGATTGAGCAGGCACGTCAGTTGCGTCGTCAGGGCAGCAGCACGTAGCTCCTCCTTGTCCAGCATCTCGTCGACCCTGATAACGGGCAGGTGAGGAGGGGAGGCGGAAGCAGAGCCGCCGTACTCCGTCGCCATGGAGGAGGCTGAGAGGTAAAGTTGCTTCGCTTCCTGCAGCTCCTCCGCTGCCCCCCTCTTGAAGAGAAAGTTGGCTCTCTCCCTCCTCAGGTTCGCGCTTTCCAGCCTCGCTTGCAACGGCAGGCTCTCCCTGGCCTGCACCTGCTCCTGCTCAGCCTCTTCCTCCTCGAGCGGGAGATCAACCTGGACGATCTTGACGAGGTAGGAGACTGGGAAGGGGTTCGGCACGGGAGTCGTCTGTCGGAAATCAAGTGTGGAAGAGGAGAAACAAGGAATGGAGGAAGAGGAGGGAGGAAGGTAGAAGGAGGAGGAGGAGGAGGAGGAGGAGGAGAATACCTTCCAGCCGCCAACCGGTAGTGGGAACAAGGCGAAGGCAGGGGAGACATCAATCTTAGCTTCGACACCCTACAAGACAACAAGAACATAGTGAGAGAGAAAGAGACATAGGAAGCAGAGAAGGGGAGGAGAGAGGGGGAAGGGAGAGGAGCAATGGGAGGAAGAGGAGGAGGAGGAGGAGGAGGAGGAGGACGAAAA